AATTGTATTTTAGATCATTTTTTCTTGTTCTCCATGTCCTATAGCATCTGTAACTGTTGATTTGGGAAAAAATATTCATTATTTCCTTATGTGCTTGCTATGAACATAATTTGTATGCAGCACAACACAAGAAACTTAGAAAGCTATAGAATTTGTTAAAAAATCATTCAGAATCACTTTTAGGAAGGTCTTAACTATGTATTTCATTGAAAGATGCAATAAAATCCTAAAATAGTTGCTGCACAGTTGAGACCACATAATTTTTGCTTTTTTTTTTTTTGTATGTATGAACAAATGTGTTGAGATATATTGTAACTTGCGTGTGTACAATTCAGGGGGACTTTCCAAGCCAGCGGGACTTTCCAGCTGGTTCCCCCTCAAATCTCTGATCAACGATTCTTCATTCACACATCATTAATACATGGGTAAGGTGCATGTCTTGCCTAATGGCACAATGGCATTGGTTAGAACTGGGATCAGTTAATTTCAAGACAACAGGTAGACCCTGTTATATTGGGTATATGTTCTACTGGGACGCCAATAATCATGTAATAGGATCAATGTAAAAAAAAAGATTTAAAACAACATAAATGATTGAGAAATAGTGCAAATTTCTGCAGAATCAGCAATCTAATCACTCAATCAACTATTACTTATCTCAATTAAAAGAAGTTATATATTTAGTTCTGAATGATAAAAGATTTTTAGAGAGGAGATGTTTTACGCATTTGAGAAACACGTGATACAAATTAGTTTAGATCATCTGAAGTTAGGAAGAAGCACTTTATCCTTCTGTTGTCCGGTTGAGGTCCCTTTTGTATTTAAACAGAATTGTAGAAGGGACTGGCTGGTCTGGCAAGATATCATTCATATTGCCCATAACATTTATTGTAGATTCATATCCGCTCTCTCTGATTAGTAATACAGACAGTCCCCTGCTAATTGCCTGTTTCTAATGAGTCTAGGCTGCATGTGCACATTGAAGTAAAGTAATATAAGTTATATGTCAAGCACTGGCTAATCAGTGCTCTAATTAGTCTGACAACAGCTAATGGACCTTATCTGAGAGTGAAGCTTATCTGTGAGGGCCACGTGAGACCAGCCTTAAAGCTGCACACACTGAGGTGAACCAAAATCAAACAATCTGTCTTCCATTTGGAACAATACAATAATGTGAAAAATAAAACTGACTTTTGCTCAGGCTGGCTGCAAAGTTTATCTGCTTTTTTGACAGTTATAATTAGGTCTGTCACGATAAATACTACATCAACTTATCGTTCAATACATGAAAGCTTGAACAATATATTTTGGACCTTAATGTTTACTGTGTGTGCATTTTCTTTCTAAAAATAGGGAGATTTGTGTTATTTTAGTTGTAATACAAGAAGATTTGAGTTGTAGATGGTTGAATAAGTAACTCTTATGGCTATTGCAGCTCAGGCCTTTTAATGATACTGTATATTTTTAAAAATCTTTACCTGGATGTTCTTACTTACTTGTTAGTGTGTCAGTGGCATGAAGTAGTTTCAATGTTATCATTTATCATTCTACTGTACTTCAAAATGTGTTTTTGTGACAGACCTAGTTATAATTGATTTGTAAAAATGTATTGTTCTATTGGTTTACTGGATAAAATGCAGTTGAAGACGCAACCTATTGTACAACATGTGTTTATTGTATTATGTAACCTTTGTACCACAGAGTCACATTATTTTAAATTTGAAGTCAGAAAAACTCATTCTCTAATTATTTGTATTCTACACACAATACAAGTGAGTTTTCTTTAACGGTGCACCATACAGCTTTTGTAGAAAAAATGTACAAAATGAAACCTTCTTGTCTCCATGGAAGGGCTGTGGTCTGGAACGTTCAACAGCCTGGCATATAAGGGTTTTTATTTTTATTTTTATATATTTTTTTGCAATAAAAACAGAACTGGAGTATTCAAATGAATTAACTGAGACAGTCCAGTCTGTCCAAAATCCAGGGGTCATTTTGCAACAGGGATGACCAGTGTGAGTGCCAAGTTTGCTCCATCAGACAAAGAGATCTCCAGCCTGGCGGTCAACAGACACACAAGTGCATCTGGGAAATATAAGCATCCAGTGTTTCCGTTGGGGACAGTGGCCGTGGAGGTGTGTGTAATTGGGCATATCCAGTGATAGATGGCACTGGGGTCTCACAGAGCAGAGACAGAAGGGCTCTGTCTCCATGTGAGGTTGATTGTGTGGTCTATTAAACAGCAGACCCAGGAGGAAGCATTAGTGACAGAGAAAGCTTCAGGTACCAGGCGAGGAATACCATTTTACAATCAGCAGGTCTTTGCGTGATTGAGATATAAACACCATTGTTAAACTGATCACACTAATGAAATGTTTTTGTATCAGAGTGGTTGTGAAATATAGTGAAAGGGAGTTTGATAATTGTCTTGGTTTTATTTCATCTACACTTGATGAGTGCAACAAGAAACATTGGATAGTTTCTTTTCAAGTTTTATCGCTTGCCTTTTTGGTTGACAATTCAATTAAAATATGAGTAAAAATTAGAATTTGTTTGTAAAAATGATGCATATTATCTGAATATTTACCTATGAACATTACTTTATTACAGTAACTTGTCAACTGGGCATCAATGTACACATTTCTGTAGTGTATGTGTGTTGGGGTGTTCATCACATTGTGTGGACAGAAATCTGTGAACTTCATTCAGATTCTAAAGGCTGACAGGGCATCAGGTAGGGACATCAGCATGTTTACTTTTGTATTTTAGTTTTATACCCAGCACTACTTAGTATTAAACATAATCAATATCATTTTTATTTATTTATTTATTTATTTTTACAAATAAGATATCATTTGTCTTGAGAGGGCACAGAAAACCTGGTGGTGGAGGATGACTACTTTAATCTACTTGGGTTGATTCAGTTAGGGAATTATGTTTATGCTTAGGATTTATCTCTAGGAAGTGATTGTAAACAGTGCCCTCAGAAACCACAGAAACATAACATCTTCAGCGAGGAGAGTAGATGGTATATATAGTTATGACTTATCTTTTCACTCTGTAAAATTGAGCAGCAAAAACAAATATATGCACTCTGGAGATGGCTGTATTCAATATGATGAGGAGATAAAAGTAGCTCACAAAAGATAAAATGCAGACCGACCCAAACGGATTTCCCTAAGACAAGTTTGCCCTGCGCTTGAGAATGGCAGCGACTAAAATCAGCCAATTAATAAATAAAGGTGAGCTTTTGTCAAGAGCTTTTTGACATAGCAGAACAGTCGGGAGAGAAGCAGGAGAAATGCAAGACGCTTGTTAACTCTGACCCAAATCATAAGAGACGGCATGAGCTGTTAAAACACAGAGCAGATTGGGAGCTCGTGTGACCTAGATAGTTTTGAAAAGCAGCTGTACATCACATGAATCACATCACTCCTCTGCCTAACACAATGAGGCACGTCTCTGTGGTTTTTGTGTTGAAAATTACATTGAGATAAGTCCCCTTTGTGACGTGTAAAATATGGATTGGTTCAAGAATGTGTGGTGGATTCTTTTTATGATATTGTCTGATTTATAAATGCAATTTGTGAAGAGTGGGACAAGGGACAGGGACTGAGCTGTGATGCCCTTCACTCAAGAGGTGTTCACTTTAACATCGCTTTTTAGAATGGAGCAGAATAGGTGGAAAAGAACAGATGAAGAGAAGAGTTTGCATATACATCTGTGGATATATTGTTGATAAGCTTCCTGGATTTTTTTTTACAATATTAGATTTCACTGTATAAACTATACTTCTATAATGGAAAAGTAATTCAATTCTCCATGTATTATGTAAGTCAGAAGTTTGTCTTTGTCTTTGTTTTTGTCTCAAGTACACCCTAAGGCTTACGTTATCCTCTCTGAATACCCCCTAACTTGTTTGGTATTAAAATAGTCAGTAATATACAGTATCTTTAATTGGATTATATAGTTATCCATAATCCTCCAAAGCATAACAAAGTGAAAATTTAAAAAGTTTAGACTTACATTAAGGAACATCTAATACAAGCAGATGGCCAAACGCAGAAATCATATAAGTCCACTTTGACTTATATCCACTCTCTCATTGTGGTCCAAGGTGATCCAAAACATTGTTCCTCTGAACTTGTGTGTATTCAGGCCAAAGCGAGCTGCAGGCTCCTCTGACAGTGCCTCATCGCCATGCCAACAGACCTTGTGCCAGCTCAGCTCTGGCCCCACTACTCACCCTGGTCCAGTCAAGGACATGAAACCTGAATGTGACCAGGATTCAAACCTGTTTGGCTGTGGTGGCATGACCTCCTCTCACACAGTGGTGGCATGCTGAAATGATTCATGCATGCTATATATGCATGTAAGGCTAGATTTCCAAAGACAGAAAGCATCATAACAAGTTTCTTCAAGAAGGGGGGTCCAAACATAAGTGCTTTCTGTTGTTGCATGAATTATAAATAATGTAAAAATGAAATTACATTCTTTTTGGTTTGATAAGTGGATTCTTATTGTAAAATGATGATGGCTGAACAGTCTATGCTCTTAGTTGTAATGTTGTAGAAAAAAATACTCTGAAATCTCTTATATCTCTGAAAATAGTTTAGTGATCGATTTGCTGGCCTATTCATATGTACACTATGTCATTTTTTTCTGGTGGGGTATCATCGGATCTGCTTGTCTCCATGCAGCTGATGCTACAGCAGTGTTCCACAGTATGGAGTTAATTTGTGTTTAAAACACAGACAAAAACACAGATCTGATTGGGTGGCGTCACATGCTTATTTCATATGAAAATACCTTTAATACCATACTGTGGAACTTTCCAAGCAAAACAATAACATCTCCATGGAGAGAAGAAGGTGGAGGATCCTCTTCCTTGAAAAATCTATGTACTAATTCTAAATAAACTTGTTTGACTAATTGCTGTAGGTTTGATTTTCTAGTAAATCCGATTTTCACATTGTCACTCCTGTCCTCTTGCCTTGCAGACAACTGAACCAGTGTTTGTGATGGACATTTGTACCACTTCTCCCCTCACTCCACCACCAAAGATCTCCACTGTGCACTCCTCACCTGCTTGGAAGAACAATATTTGAACCAATCATTGTCACAAGAATTACAGACTTTGTCGCTAGGATTCTGTAAAGAGCAAGTGGTGGACCATGTGACACTTGACCTTCTGCGCCGCTACCTCATGTGCACTCCAGAAGATGTCAAAGCCGCTCTGAAGTCCCTCTCTCGCAATTCATTTTCTTTTCATGTGTTGTTCGGCGATACTCCAGCCACCATGGGCGAGCCGTGAAGGAGGGGGTTTAGTCCAGGGCTGGATCTTCATGTATCGAGGAGTACCAGTGCCGTAAAGCCATGGATTTGACTGAGATCCTATTCAGAGTACAAGTGGTGTGAGAGAGATTGCAGAGGTGGGATTGGACTTAGAGAGTTGGGCTGATAAAGCTGCTGAGCTGACAACCCCATGCTGGATCTGCAGTGAGCACAGCCAGGGACCGAGCGGAGGAGGATGTCAGCAGAGGCCGAGCTACAGCCGGGTGTGAAAACCAGCCAGCGCAAGGAGTCCCGCAGGATCAAGGGTACGTGACCAGTTTGAGAGATGTACAAAACACTGCATTCAGTATGTCTACTTTGTTTGATACAGCTATTGAGTGACAATATCCAGTCTAATGAGCCAATCACAGACAAACTTATCGTACATACACATCTAGAAATAAGACAAAGACCTTCTTAAAAATAAGACATGCTATCCAAAGTATCCAAAAACTAATTGTGAGTGAGAAAAAATGTAAGATCTAAGACATGAGATGGTTTGGATTCTGTTTGTCTATTATCCCAGGGATGTCAGTAAATCAAATTATAGTGCTACAGTAATTTTGAGAAGAAATGTCACAATTTTTAACCAAACTAAAGTGAAAATCTTAATGCACTTTACTTCACATTGTATAATTGGCTTTTAATGTAGTGTTATGTAGTGTTATCGGCATATTAAATCCAATTTTCTGAATGATAAACTAAAGTTAATGTAGCAAACAGCCAAATCAAAAGCACATTTACATTACATTTGAGTAGATTTTTAATTGAAATGCCTTATTTTTGTTTCTTAAATGGTCACAATTGCTATTTTAGTTCTTACATTTCTATTGTGACCTAAATAATCACAATTATTGATTAACTAATTCATTTGAACATTTCTAGTATTAATCTGAGACTAACTGTATTCTTTGAAGTACTCAACAGTGGCCCATATAAAGGAATGATGTAATATTATATCATTCACCACATGTATTCACTGATAGTCCCATATTCTCCTGACACTTGCACAGTGGGAGGAAGCACTAAATACTCTGCTTTGGCGAGTGGTGATTGTAACAGGTTTTACTGAGCACTCCGTTTTGCCCTGTTGTACTGAGAGCCCCACAGCTCTGAGCTCCAGATGCAGTGACAGCCTTCCTGTGTAGCTGTGGGCTGTGTACTGTCTGATTTAGGCCTCATGGATGGAGTCATTTACACCCTGTCGCTTTGATGAACAGCCCGAGTGATGTAATACGATGAGGCATTCTCCTAACGCCAGCCCTGGTTTGGTAATGGATTGGTCTGAGGCACTAGGAACCAGGAAATAGAGCAGGAAATAGGGCGATGTTTGTTTCGTTATATCTGGTGTCACTCACTCCAGCCTGTGTCTATGAATAAAACTGCTACTACAGTCTGGTAAATGTAGTTCCCAAGGGCCAATGGACTGCTCCGTTGTGGCAGTGTGGGCTGGAGTAGACAAATGGCAGAGCTGGAGGAGGACCCATCGATTTGAGTTAAGTGAATGGGGCTGTTACACACGTGGCACGCTACTCTGAGAGGGCTATCAGCTCCGGCTATCAGTCTGAAGTCCACCATGTTAATCGCACACGCCCGGGCCCATTGTCACAATCAGCATAGATGCCATTTAGATCTATATAAATGGAAATGGGCCACTTTAATGGAGGGAGACAGTGATAGAGAAGGACTGGTTTGCTGAGAGTGGAGTCTGGGGCAGGTGAAGGGCAGTGCTGTCAAGTGAATGTCAATCATGGGTTACTGGACTCATTACTAATCTTTATTGGATGATTTAGAATAAGATGCAGTAGGTCTATGTAAATAATTCTAAAAACACAGTTGCCAAATACCTTTGTATGTATTACGCTAAGACGTCATCGCATGCATTGTTGTTTCTCACATTTTTAGCCTCATAGCGTAATTGCATAGATCATTTTTCAATATATTTTTTTATATATATGATGAAGAAGCCAATCACACTTACAGATGCAGCACATTCTGGAAAGTAGAATGATACAGAAAAAAAAAATGCTATGAGGCCAGTGATATGGTACATCAAATACACAGGAATGACTGAATACGATTCTTTAGTATGATGTCTTGAGTAAACCAGCACCGTTCATTATATTTTTAATCTAATATTCAGTGTTAAAAATACAATGTTTGACACATTCAGTAGGCTACATTGCTCTTTTGGATAGTCACTATTTTATTGCTGCATTCTACCATTTGGGTAAAAATACACTTTCTTGCAATGAAGTGTAGCTGCCATCGTTAATCCAACACTCTCCCATTCCCATTGACAGAAATGTTTTACATGGGCGACTCAACTCCATCTCCATAGCAACTGTTGCTCTCTTGCTGTAATCTGTGCACAAAAATTATGAGTATTTTCAAAAACAGACAATCTGCAGAGAGACGGGAGAAGAGCGAACATTCACCTTGATACAAATACAAACCAATGCATGAGGTTTTCAAATTGCACAGCTCATATCAGACTATTTCATCACACAATTTCAACACACGTTATAACAACCAGGCAGAACCATCTTGCTTATCAAAACTTCCAGCAAACAGCACCCTCATGTAGCTAAACTGGGCTATCCTGATTGTGTACCATTTCAGATGCAGCAAAGAACTTTCATGAGGTCTGTTTGAAATGTGATATAATAACATTTATTTATTTTTCCTGTTAAGCAGAGACTTATTTTGTTTCAGTACAACCAATTAACTCATCTAAATTACTTTTTTACTAAGTAACTTTAAATATGCCAATTATAATGTAAAAATGTATCCACTAAGTAATTAAGTATATATACGTCTAAAACATTTGAAAAACAGAGAAAGCATTGAACTGATCTCCTATCTCCACACAGTTATTTGTACCACTGCTCCAAGTAAAAGGAACATATTGTTCTTATTATATAGTGGCAAAGGGCCAAACTTAATAATGTATGTATCTAGGTTGAAATATGGCACAGCAGTAGTGTCATATGATTTCATCACAGCCAAATGAATGGTGTACATGTGGTGTGCTGGCACTGGAAAACACTGGCAGGAGCAGGCAGACCAATACGGCTCCACACACTCACAGGGTTCAAAGGTCAAGCTGCCCCAATGCCTGGATCCCCAACAAAAAGTTCCTCATTGCCAAGTGCATATAACTGGAGGGGTACTTGTGACTCTCCATCTGTTGCCATCTGTGCACCCTGTCCCCATTCTCAGGAGCCATACAGGGCTGTGATCCGCCTGGAAACAGGGACCAGCTCGTCTACAATTGTCCTCTCAGTGGTCCCTGTGGTGGACAGGCAGTGTGTCAGGAGGCTCATGGAGTGTCTCAAACAAAAAGCCCACCTGTATATGTTGGATCTGTGCTCATCTTCAACTACACAAGCTTTTTGTCCTTTCTTTTTGCATCGTTATTGCTTTGAATGCAAAATTCTGTAATTCAAAGAGGTTATCTTATGCTACTTTATTTTTTATCTATGTTATAATGCTGTTTCCTCATCAAAAACATACCCTGAGTTTTGTTTCATTCACACTTGTTTAATGCACAAACCATGCATATTTAGGCTGAGTTCTTCTCTCAAACAGAAAATCATGTGGTAATACAGGAAGTGCTCCACTGTGTTTTTAACTTCATCCACCTTCAGAGTCATCAGAGTCATTTGGATAGACCTGTAATAACTAATAATGATTAAGGTCACTTTTAACTTGAAAACTACTGTTGCATGACATCACAAGGTGGAACAGAGCATTTTGAACTTTTCAGATGTGGCCTATTAACAAAGGTTTACTCAATATGTGAGTAAACCGGGTCTGTTTTTGATAAGGCAGCAACATTATAACATGACTAAAGGCTTACAAGAGTCAATTTTTTGGAACATAGAACCTTTAAACAATCATACAATTCTCTGTTTAAAAGTTGTGATATTAATATTATATTGATAGGAAATACAAACAATATAATGCAAAACTGAAATTGCTAAAGCTTTTACCCATGTCATAAAGCTTTATCCATATCATAACTGGAGTTTCATTCATGCTCTTTTTCTGTATACTCCACCATCATTTTCAAAGCGTACACACTTGCCTATGTCAGCATACTGTGGTCCATGAAGCTCCTCTGTATTTTTAAAGCCTATCCACATTCACCATACACCTTCTGGCAATATCAATGCTCAAAAATTGCTTTCCCTGCACAGTTTAGTCATTTCAACACTACAAAACATTACCTGATACAAGATGCTTCACTTTTGAATGATCTTACAAATATGCATGACCTAAATACAACCTTTTGCTTATACAGAACATACTAAGACTGTCTAAACTGTGATAATACTAGTCCATAGATGATGAGCTATCAGCATGAAACAGATCAGTTTCCAGATCAATTCTAGTTCTGCCTCAGGTGGAAAAAGGTTATGCAATATATAGAGAACATCAAATCACAAAACACACCTGATGAAGAGGAACACGTCAGAAGTCAGGCCTCTCTAACCACCAGGAACTCTCAGCGGCCAACTATTGTGCAATCCATGTGATCGGGCCGGGCGTATCCTTATGTAGACACCACTTTGGGCTACTCTCTGTCAGAAACATTAAGGGCATCAGACATATCAGCTTGAAATATTACCAGGAATAAGACAAACCTTTAGAGAAAATCTGTGCCGCACCTTCCCCCTCTCTCTTATACGGTGTAACAACATAAAACACATGCCCTGCGGTGCTCTCTCTCCATTTGAACTCAGAACACGTAGTCTCCAAGTTATTCCACAGCGTCAGGTTCATTGGACATGCAAGGCCTCATTTTTTGGAGAATGTATCAGTCCATGAAGCTCTAAATCTCTCCCGAAGTGTTATTAGGGGGATGGCATGTGGTATGTAAAGAAATAAATGGCACCTAGCATCTGGTTAAAGCTCATATCAGAGAGGGCTGCACCCAATTGAACTGATGATGTTTAAAATGCAACTAGAGCAGCATACATTTTGCATTACATTACAGAGTGTATGAGTCAGGAAAACCAGGGTGGAATGCATTATGGGTAAAATGAAACCAGAGGCAGTAGTACAAAAAGGACATTTATATTGCCATGGTTTTCAATGGGGGGGGTTACAGTCAGCATGGGGCGATCTGCAGTGGGTCATTGGTGCTTTTTATATTTTGAGTACTAGTACTAGTACGTATTGTAGTAACAGCAGTATGGAAAAGCATTAGTTAAAGATTAGCCAGTACAAGACTTTATTATTAAGTGGTATTAAAGCAATACCATTAATATCAGCTGCAATAACATGGCCATTATTTGAAGTACTTTTGAATTTACATCTCACTTGTGAACTATACAGGCTTCCATCCATCTTCTATACCCTATAAGAAATTATAAGAATTTTAAAAGCTCTGCAGTCTTCTTGTACCTACAGCTCTTTGAGTAGCATGCACTTTATCACGTTCATGAGCTTGTCATCAATGTAGTCATTTATTTTTCTTCCACGGCAGCTGCTTCTGGTTTAATGTTCACTTGTACTCCGGCTCTGTGTATAAGAGCCATTATCCCCTGGCAGCGAAACAAGTCTGAATTAGGCCCAGATTTGACATTGACTTGCTTAGAGACTTTAATGACTTTAGCATCATCGGGCCCTTCCCCCTTTGGAGAATTGTGCCCTCATGAATTAGTGAGAGCGTGCGCACATAGTCTTAGCAGGCACTCGAATCACGGCTGCGTTTTTTTCATTTTACACGAGCCATTTAATTTTGCTCTTTTTATTTAATTTGCCATTTTTCTTTTTGATTTCTGTCCTCTACTTCAAGGAAGGTTTATCGCTGGGAACAGTTCCAAATGCGGTAAAAGGAATCGATTTATGCCCTGTGTAAAATAATCTCATTTTCAACAGGGTAATAGCTTTCCGTAGCGGTCTTATACGCTCAGATGTAACACGTGTGCTAAATATACAGCCTCCATGACCTAGAATGGGAGAGAGCTTTGAGCCAGGAAAAGCAAAATTCTCCAAGGTGCTGGTGACCTTGATTTGCAGCTATCTTTGCTTGTTAGAAACCCTGAAAAAGTTTCTACAGAGGATTGTGGTTTGTAGTACTGTGGATGTACCAAACAACGCTTACGGCTTGAACGCACATTATCAAAATACTACAAAACGAAGAAGATGTCAAGGTGAAAATGAGAGCACATATAAGAGATTGGCAGGCAGAATATTGAGCAAAGGGGTGGGGTAGAGGGTGCAAAGCTGGAGGCCATGTACGCACTGATACATGCTCCCCGTCTCACACCAGTTTGTCCCCGACACCACCCAACATCCATCACTCCTGGGAGGGCCGAAGGGAAGATTGTGGGTAAGCATTGGAGCGAGATGATTCAGCTCAATAGGCCCCATTCAAGCAGCTTTGCCACCGATTGGTTGCACCCATGGGAACCAGGGTGTGGGTGGACCCCTAGGTGTAACCTCTCACCTCTGTTTTCTGTCTGAATGCCTTCCAATAGAGCGTATCCATGTACCATTTGTTTTAATAAATTGCTGACTTTATTCAACTTCATTTTCAATCTCCAACTTCAATTTGATTCCAGGCTTTGCCTACTGCCCCTAATTTACTATTCATTCTTCATTTCCTATTCCATAAATATTTATATGAGACTGGCCAACTCTCACCAAGAGCTCCATCCACCAATTTGTTGGAGTCGATTGAGCTCACACTTTCTGCTCACCTCATACTCTCTGCTTTATATTGAGCTGGACAATATTAGGAAAAGACATGATATGAAAAACAATTAAATACAACATAAAATAAATAATATTCTCTTGTTTGTGCTTAAATCAAGTTTAAGAAAAGTTCAATAACTTTAATTACTAGTGAAAAATGTCTCAAAACATAGCATTTTGCTCTTTGTAGGATGTAGGGCTGGGCTATGACGTTTGCTCATCTTTCCTCGTTTGTGAGTGGGTCTTGGTAGAACTTGCTAGAAACTAAAAGCATAAAAGCATACGCTGACAAAGTAGAATCTACTTTAATTGTTGACAAATCCTCTTAAAATTATATCAGCTTTTATATATATTTTTTGCAATATATTGCCAATAGATTTTTTTCAAATGTGAAGCCTTATTCTTTTTCTTACCTCTTTCTCTCTTTTTGTTCCCTGCTTCAGGTCAAGACCGGACAGAGGCGGGACTTATTAAGCGTTTCCGTGGAGATGGTGTGCGCTACAAGGCCAAGCTGATTGGGATTGATGAGGTGACGGCTGCACGGGGAGACAAGCTGTGCCAGGACTCCATGATGAAGCTCAAGGTGTGAGCCTCTTCACTGCAGGTCCTTCACATTTGAGGAGGTCTGGATGGGTTTGCATTGATACATGAGTCAGAGGAGCTGTCCACTGTGACTCACCCAGGCCCAGTAAACACCTCATCACTGGGAACAAATAAAGTCCAGTCGTATACTGTGTTCAAAGCAACAGGAAGAATAATGATGTAATGTCATTCAGCTGGATGGGAATATAACATTAGGATGATTTAGGTACTGTATTTGCTTGTGTACAGTGTATAGTGAAAATACTAATACAATCTTGCTGTTGTTTTTGTAGTTTTTTCCCTAACTCTTATGATTGGTGTTTGAGGCACAAAACATTCTATTTACATTAAAAAAAAAAATCTTATTAGGGGGGAAATGTTCATTACTTTTTGGCTTCTCTTATCACTCTATCACACACTCTGAAATCCAGAGATGCCCCAGAATTGAACAAACCCTAAATAACTTGGGGAGCTATTTCTGTCCTGACTGACATACCTACATGTGATACCGAAGTTTAGACTGATAAAAATATGTTTCCCAAGGAAACCAGTCCGTGAAGTGATTCTTAAAACTTTAAAATTGTGCTTGAAAATGTTAGTAGCAGACAAATTTCAATAACTAAACTGATGGCACTGTAAACTGATGCAGCCTCTTACACACATTTAAATTGGGTCTAAACAGGAACTAAACATGGACAACACCAGGGCTAAATCAGCATTAGAACAAGACTCAACCAAGTCTACGGACCCAGGATTAAACTGGCCTCAAATCAAGACCAAAAAAGTGTAAACGTACCTCGTCCATGACAAAATGGTTGTTCTAAAGCACATGAAAGTTCAGAAAAGCAACACCATCCAATGTAAGTCCCATATCCATTAAAACATCTTTTCCAGCACCACGATATACATTTCAGCACTGCCCTCCCCATGACTGCAGTCTTGAGCGGCCGGCAGCCAGTTACAGTCAATGGGGCAGTCAATACAGACCTGCTATTATCTGGAGCGGGGATAGAGAGGGGACGGATCTTTATTGAGCTGCCTCTTACAGCCTTGAGGGCTAATCCACCAAATGGAGAAGCCGATTCTTGATTGACAGCATCCATCGACCGCCCCGCCCACCACCTCTTTTCACTCATTTTATCTCTTTCTCATCTCAAATACCTTACGGTCTCTTCATGTACACCACTTTGTACATGTAATTCCACTCAGACACGTGGCAGGGTTTACAGGTGTTCTATATGTTAACACCTCAGGATTATCATTGTAATGGCAGCAGTGACATTTTTAACCTCAGGGAAACATGGTATGGTATTTGTGGCTTGTTTAGCTTCTTAAATGTCAAATACACAACTGCAGGTAATCAAATCAACAATAGTAGTACTTGATCCAATGTTATCTGTGACTAACTAACCACCACTTATCTTACTATAGCTATGAACTGAAACTTGAAATCCAAAATCATCACAGTTTGAGGAATAAAAAAAATATTTATTTATGTTTTACAGTAGCTAGAAATGGGCAATATGGACAAAAATTAGGTTCTGGATTTTTGGGTGTATGGTCCCAATTGGAACAATGATTATTATTAATATTTTAGCAATTCACCAGAAAAGTGCCTATAAATTACTTAACTGAGTTTACACAAAAAGTGAAAGGACTGTAAAATTAAACTCAAAAAGAAATACGTTTAGAAACATCTGCTGAGACTTACAGGAACTATTGTGAGGAACTGACACAGCGAGGAGGGCTCATGTCAACAAAGTCTGCTTTGCAAATTTATTGGAGGCATTCAGCTCACCAAGCGTCTCTGTGTGCTCCTCTCCCACAGGCTTTGTTCTATGAAAGACATGTCAAGTGCACAGGTAACCCTCAGATGGAGCCTGTTCAAATGTTAATTATCTAAGAACGTCGAAGAAAGCAAGCTGCAGAGATTCATGGGAAAAACCTACTTCAAAGGGTGGGTGGGCTGTATAGTCAGCACTATGTTGAGTTACACCTTGGTTGGTCAGCAGCAAGATCTGTTCTGTCAGCAAATACCAGCTTATAATTGTTAGCATTCACTTGACATGTAGTACACAAAAGAAGAGGTTTCATTTTATCACAACTACACCTTAATTAGCCTAAATAAAGCAATGCTTAATACATAATGAACAAATACTTCTAGTACTACTACTACTACGTCTTCAGCACTCATTACAGGTGCATTGTGTAACTTTTCTAGTACTGGGCCCATCAAATGCTTTTCTTCATGGAGACGTTATTGCTTTGTCTGGAATGTTTCACAGTATGGCATTAAACCTTTCTGTCTTCATGGAGATCAAACCAGACCCAGTTACGGGTTAGATCTGTGGAGAGGCCACCCTTCTCTGAATGTCTCATTTAAAAGGTATTTTTGAGCTATATAACCACCTGTAATTGAGTGAATGTATAAGGTAAAGCTGGTTTAATGACTGTGGAACATTCTAGGCAGAGCAGCCACATACTGTATCCATAGAAATAAAGCAGGTGATGGACCCCCAATCAAAAAATTACATAGTACCCATTTAAAGCTACTTAGTTTTTATAAAGTGTTGCCAAAGAAGTAAATGGTGCACAAAAGTCTTACAGTGAAGCTTCAAAAAGTTGTATAACAGTGCACTTTGTCCTCTCACAGCTTATGTAACTGTCACATTCACCTGAATAGGGGGAGCTACATTTGATGCTATAGCTTCATATCCTTTCATCTCACCTTGTTCCTCTTATCTCTTGGCAGGGAATGGCGTCGTCGGCACGTTCCAAGGGGGAGCACAAGCAGAGAGTCTTCTTGACTATCTCCTTTGGGGGAATCAAAATGTACTGTGAAAGATCAGGGGTAAGTATTGTTCTGTCTGCGCAGAGTGGTGGGCCCCTCATGGAGCTGCACCGTGAGGCCCCTGCCAGCTGCTGTTCTGTGCCATGTGCTACAGGACATTCAAAGGGCACACACTTGTATGGGTCAGTTCATCGCCGCCATCTTATAAGCTTCACTGACATAAAACACGGTTGACATATCACAAGATAGAGCAGAGGTGGACACAGATAATTCTGTCGTTTCATAACTGGGCGACTCTCATAACTCACAACTCTAATAAATCTCAGATGAAAATCAAATAAAATATTGTTCTTTTTTGTTTTTGTTTTTTAAATAGTGTTCGTGTATTGGGACAAGGGAAAAATGGAAATGCCATCTTGAATGCTGTAGAATAAACATTAATTGAAACTGCACAAATCACTTTAAATAGAACTGAGAAGAAAAAAAAACTATGACATGGTTATAAGCAAAAGCTTTAAAAAGTAAATTTTGCACAATATATCTCCTTTATGTTCAAAAGAGTATACCCCATCTATGTCCTTTCCTTAGTGAATGATAAAGCATGCATCTTGTGGTATACATTGTTCTTCAGCTGTGCTATTGGAGTTCAGATTTATTGGCATTCTCTCTTTTTAGACTTAATACATGGCTATCATTTTTGGTTACTAAACTCACACAATTCTGTGATAATTCTATATCTAATGTATGGGAATCATAAAATCCAAAACGGAAAACTTGGCTTGCTGAATCTATCTACCAAAAGACATCTGGACCCTCACATATACAGACACACTGACATGCTCTCCAGAGAATATTTGCCCTTTAGCTCATAAAAATTGAACTTGACAGCATTAAATTGTGAGGCTTAAATTTGATATTTGACCCAGAGTACAAGGCCATGTAAAGCCGGCTATGCTGCAGGACCTGCTAGTACTTACTGTATATGATGTTATGAGCCTGTCTATTTGCTCTTGTATCTGGGCGTCCTTCATTCCCCCTCTGCCCCATTACGGCATGATGGAGGGGATCTGTCTCCCTCGTCCCGCAGCGAGTGTTGGCTCTGCTCATCAGCTACAGTCGATAATTAGCAGTCAGTTCCACCCCTTAATGATCATTTGTGCTAATGATCATTACGTACTAGCTCCTCCTCGGACACTCTCAGTGCTCAAGTCATCATGCAATAACATTTGTCCCCTGGCTTCTGACCTCTGCCTTACCCCCAGCAGGGAACTCACTGAGATGTTTTTATTATACCAAATTTAAATCTCTACTCAACACTGCACATTTTTGGACAACATCTCTCACCCAGCTGATAGTGTTTGGTTTCCCTTTAACACAGGCCACTTAACCTACAAACTTAAACTTCCTGCAATCTTTTTTTACTTGCATGTCACATTGAAACATTAACTATATTTACTATATTTTCCAATGGTTTCCACAGTTTCAGCCTTGTTCTCTGTAAAGTAGCACTTTATTTTAGCTCTCCAGTAGCCAGCCATTAAAGTAATATCCACAGAAAGCATCTGATATTTTGAAGACTTTTCACCATTCAAAAAATATAAAATAACTATTTTGTTTCACTTTGATAATTGCTTTGGCAACAGTCCTATTTTTTATCATTCTGAACCCCATGGATAGGACAAAAAAATCCATGGAAACCAGCATTTTCTGCATCAGCAGCCAGATTTGACAATGCCATTAGTTACACTGGAACCCTCCTGGTGACCTCTATTTTATTTACTGATTAGCCTAAGTACAGTAAATAGCCTGTCACACCCAGGTTGGTTGGTTGGATATCTCAAGCAGAGCAATGCAAATGATGTACTTTATGTTAAGCTGACAAGAAATAACTACATTAGTCATATTAGCCATGAATTTGACAATAATCTGAGGTTTTACTAACACACAGGATGGTTCTTACATAGTGAATATACACCAGTGAAAGCCCCTCCCCAGTGCTGTAGCTTGTCTGTGCTAACAGCATAGCAGTGAGAGGGGGTGCAAGAATGACAGCAAAATGACTCCGTGTGTACATGGGTGTATGATTTCCCCTTTGTTTCCTACAGTGTCACATGTGTCACTCAAGAAATACAGAGGATAAAATAATTACAAAGTTGGCAGAATATTAATTAGTGTGTAATGAGTGCCTGTGTGCTCACTTGTGATACTCAATACCAGAGACTGCATTTGAACTGCTTAGAAATTCTTTCATAGTCATTTCATATTACACTCTCGTGATAGTACACTTTCATGATTTTTGTTAGTTACTGTCTAGTTTTGTTATTGTTTCACAGGTTTCTTCAAAGCTATGATACTAGTACACCCCTTAAGTTTGCTATTTGTGTGTGAATTGGCTTTACTGTGAAAACCAATGCCTCATTCATGGCAGGGAGGAAGTTAACCTTCTTACAACATTGCTCTCAAATCAAATCCAAAAAACAAAACAAAAAAAACAACGACTGGTGGTGACTCAATTTTGGGAAAGATGTAAATAATAGTTGCTTAGCCTGCTTACTTCAAGAAACACCTCTTATTACCTTGCACAGGGTGATGCCATGTTGCAAATTTCTCTGACTGTCCGTCCCTAATAACAGTGCCCCAGAGTTTTCTTTCCTGATTCTGGGTCATTATTATATTATACATATTATTATTATTGACTTTGTTTATATTTGGATTTTGTAGGTTCTCCTGCATCACCACTCTGTCCATGAGATCAGCTACATCGCTAAGGACACAAGGGACCATCGTGCCTTTGGTTATGTGTGTGGGAAGGAGGGCCACCATCGCTTTGTGGCCATCAAAACGGCACAATCTGTGAGTGCTCAGCTAGGTTTTTTTATACTTTAGAATTTAGTCTTAACATAATATTAGACTAGCACCAGTGTTGAAGGCTGTATTGGATGGTGTTACTAGATGCAGCCTGTTTCTCATTCTGTTGATGATTTTCTGCATATATTTTCCTCTTCTGTACAGGCCGAGCCTCTCATCATTGACCTGCGGGACCTCTTCACTCTCATCTATGACATTAAACAGCGAGAGGAGCTGGAGAAGAAGGCACAGAAGGACAAGCAATGTGAGCAGGCAGTGTATCAGGTAGGAGGAATGTTAATCATGCAAATTTAAACCTGTATGTATTGTATATGGATGTAAACAGCATTCAGATGATGTCCAACACAACACTATAATGTTACTGCTACCACTGTAATGCTCTAGCAACATCATATCTTCTGTATGTACTTGTAGTGCATGAACATGATTATTTATATATGTGTGTGTGTGTGTGTGTGTCTGTGTGTGTGTGTACATGTATGTATGTATGTATGTATGTATGTATGTATGTATGTATGTATGTATGTATATACTATGTAAATGCCTCGATAAATGAGTGTCTGACAAAGAAAACGTTGTGTCCTTGAAATGTTCAGACCATTCTGGAGGATGAAGTGGACGACCCCGTTTACCAGGTAGGCCTGTGGGCACACAGACCAGATCATCTCTAAAGTAATGCCTTCTGTAGATCTGATATCTAGTCCGGGAAAAGGCTGTTTTGCCTTTTAAAGATGCTATGTGGAACATTCAGAGCTCAATGGATTTTTATCATGTATGCCATATACTTTTATCACAGTCCTCCTCTATTCCAATGTCTGAAAGAAGATGTTCCACACAGTATGTTTAAAACACAATGTGTGAGGTCACCTGACTTGCTTAAATTAATAATTCATGATTTTCACCATACCGTTAATTCTATGCCATCATAGTGGACAGTTTTGTTCAACCATCCAACTGCCATTTGCCAGTGCAGTGTTGTAAACCCATGTTTTGAGTTGATCTATGTTCGTGTTTCCTCCAGTGATGTGGCCCTGCTCTTTCCTGATGAACATGTGTTTTGTTCCTATGTGTTTGCTCTCACTGAATACAGACAACACTAACTCTTACTGCTATGCTATCTTCTGTGGTTACCACCACTTTGTAACTCTATCTGCATCAAGTCACTCATTTGCAATTTTCAGTTCTTTTAATGTTGGTTGACAAAACTCCAGACTATGGCCAGGATATTTCTTTCAGATCCAGACTATTTTACCAGTTAAGAAGTACAGTGGATCTGAAATAAATATTCTGATCTCTGGGTCTATTTTTATTTTGTATTTTTATTTTCAAAGAGGTGGAGCATCACATCGCTGATGTTTAAGGTAGACCTCAAGCTTGAATCTCATTGCCTTGAACTACTGCCTGACCTATTATTGTGCTCTTTCCTCTCTCCCATCTCAACCCCACTCCAACTACAATTCCCATAATCCATCTCTTTTGTGTTTTATTTATCCCCCTTTCATTGTTTTATTTGATCAATCTTTTAACATGATTTTTACCCCCTCTTCCCCTCTCATTGTTGCATCACTTGTGTTTTGTAGTACATAGTGTTTGAGGCTGGACATGAGCCGCTGCGAGTCCCTCAGTCAGAGGAGAGCGTGTATCAGGTACAAGACAAGACTTAAACCTCCCCTTTACTCTTCCTATCTTTCTTTTACAAAGTGTGGCTTTACAAAGAAATAGGTTTACAGAATGTAGATTTCAAATTCAAAAGTAAATCACACTTTCAGGACATAATTATAGTATGAAGCTGAATGTATGCAAAAGGAGACCATTAACACATCAAATGTACTTATTTTAAAGAGGCGGTATTATCCAATATTTTTTAAAAATTTTTTTTATCTTTCTACCATGGTATAACATTTTCTCATCATAAACATGCCTGAAGAGGTTTAAGATACATCCATGCATGTTTCAGTAATTTAGTGATCTCTGCTAGGCTCTTTTTGAATACTCAGTCCACAACCCTACATGAGCTATGCGTCTACACAACAATTCTCCATATATATATATACAAACCTGTACACAAAACTTGACTACCGGCAGTAGTTTCATTAGCGAGATGCACGCTGATTGTGTTGTGATAGCGCTCTGAAGGGGGAGTGACGTAGAGAGCAAAACATATTACTACATTGTTTTCGATGAAAACAGGAATTTCAACATGGTGATCTAAGTATGTAATATTGTAGCAGTTAATACCCGATTGAAGTAAAATGCCTCCTCTTTAAAATTTGAATTCCAAATACTATATAATATTGCATGTTAGATATTTAGCTGTAGTTTGCAGACTACCCTCATATACTAGGACCACATGAGGTTGGTGTGTTGGACCTTGCCTTTCATTGCAGTAACAGTTGTGGTGCTAGTAATTGCAATGGTAGTAAAAGTGGTGCTTAATAGTTGAAATAGTAATAGCTTGACACAATAACTATGAAGCAGGATAATAATTTAAATCTTCCTACTTATGCAAAGTACAGCAATAAATATTAAGCCTCATAAAAGGCTTGCAACTTTGCTAGAAATTAAACATGGCTTATGTTGAAGGTGAAGGTCAGTTGTAGCGGCATTAGACCAAGCTCCTCTCAGATACTTTGTCCTTTCACCTTTTACTTTTGGATGTTGAAGGAAGCGTAGAAGGACACTAGGGACCTGTCGACCGTTTTAATCCCCCTCCCTCTTCCCCCTCCTCCATGCTCCTCTGTGTATGTGCCAACCTCTGAAGATGAAAGATGGAGACAGGCAGGGAGATTAATCACGCACCATGCCATTTGATCTGAGGACCAAACAGGATCAATAGACTTGGAGAAAGTTAACCAGATGAGAGCGCCACAGAGAGTTAAAATGAATGAAATAAGCAGTGGAAGAGGTTTTTCTCTTATTGTCAGTTAGTTGAGGCACACCGTTGCAGCATAACAATTGCTCTTCTTAATGCTCACACGAGGAGCATTGTTTGAAATCAATATTGATTTAAGTAGAATTGATTCTGTAGCACAACTGTGAAATCTGCATAATCCCATGGCTCCAAAAGATAACATTACATCTCTAAAATGAAGCTAAATTGAACATAACAAAGTGAGCTTTTTCTACTTTTTCAGCTTTTATAGGGTCTTTTTTTTTAGCTCAAAGTTTAAAAAGATGTTGTTATGTTTCCTAATCTTTCTTTGAATTGACCTCCAATTCAATGCAGGTCCCAACCAGTCAGCAGAAGGAAGGGATCTATGATGTCCCAAAACGCCATTTCTTCACTGTAGGTGTTTGATTTCATTATTTGTTTGGTTAACTCTTCCACATGCAAACCTCTCACACTGAAGGAAGTGACATATCTCTAGCATCATATTTTAGCATATGCATGAAACAGCAATGAAGCACTCACTGGCTATGCACTGCCTTCCTCAACAGATACAACGAATTGATTAGGCAGCCAAAGTGAGACATGTTAACAATTTCACACAACATTAGAGCGTGAGTCTTCAGATCCAACATCCCAAATTGGACACATGTTGTGCAGCTGGTACCACCATGTCTAAAAAGCTGTTTCCTTCACAGGATGAAGAGGTTTGTAAGTGGGTGCATGCAGTGTAGCCACAAATATGTAGATCACTCTTTCAAAAAATATTTCAGTTTGATTCCAGCTCAAGTCTTTTGCAAATTCTTATTTATCAATTATTCTGAATTAAACTTCAACTTTTGAAAAGAGCACTTTTCAGTCTTGCTGTTGTGTGCTTGTTGCTTGGAATATCAACCTAGATAAACTGTCCCGGCCTCTCACTATCTCAGCCGAACAGCCCATGCCCATACAAGTGGCAACGCTTCCATATCTCTTAAGTGTTACTGCTTGTCTGTTCATTCAGTTGGAGCTTTATTTAAGGACCTTGGAGAGCTCCCCTGATGTGTGCCTGCAGGGAGACACCTTCTGTGTACAACCTTTTTATTTATTTTCACAATTCTGAGCAGTTCCTTCAATTGTTACAAAAATGTCTATTTTTATGTCCCAAGCTTTGAAAAGGACATACTATCTTGTTAGAATCACTGTTATCTGTGATTCTTGCTGTCTTTCTGTCCTTGTCTATTTGTGTCTTTATTTATTGCATGTGATTCATTGTCTGCTTTGCATGGCCCCAGCGACATTTCATGCGACTTAGCCATCTCATAGTGTCTTCAGAGCCGTGACCCCACTCCATTTAAAGTGGAGGACGGGGGCGTAGGGGTGAGGTGGCGCCTTTGTTTTGGTTGGGTGGTTTCAAGGAGCCAGTACTTTATGAAATGAATACCCTTCTTTGTGTGTATATCTTGATGCAGGCTAGAAGCAGCATAATGAAGTGGCCCCTCTCTCACGGGGCCCCTCTGATTGGCAGAAATAAGAATATCTAATCAAAGGCTTTATAAGTGAATAGCTTTTACACACTCAATAATAGAGAGACTTGAAACTCTAATTTTAGATCCATTTTCTGATAATGAAATGAGAAGACAGTTGTTTCTTGGTACCCACAGCTCCACTGCCAATGTGAATAGATTTCACACACCACCTGCCCACCCAACCATGCAAGCCCTATAGGATCTGGGTTTCATGGCTCATTGTTCTGATATATCACCACTCTCTTGTCTCTTTTTCACATTCTCAGAATATCAACCACTTTGATCTGTTTGGAGACATGTCTACTCCTCCCTCTGTAAGTATTGCTATAATGTAGGACATTATATTACAAGTATTTGTAAAGTGTCTATAGCAGGAGTGATAAGTAGTGCTGCTGGCGAGGTGACTCTGACATGTTTGTGTGTGCTGTTTCCAGATGCCGCCGTCTCCTGCCAACACTCTGGACCCAAGTCGTAGCAGCCGCCATCAGCAGCACGCCGCAGCCGCTGAGATGTACGCTCCGTTCAGCCCCACTTCTGTGCCATCAGGTAAACACACACGTATGCTTTTGTAATGAAAGCTGTATTATCAGAGGAAGATCGCATTAAAGTGACATGTGAACTCCTCCAACAGGCTACATGACCATGGGGCCGGTACAGGCAGCGCAGTGGGCACAGCAGGGCTTTGCTGGACAGGCCCAGACTCTTGCCTTTCCTGTTCAGGGGCCTCTCCAGGTTGCACAGGTCCTGCCCAGCGGCCAGCCGCTCATCTGGAGTCAGGCCAACATTTTCCCTGCCACACAGCAGCAATGGGCGGCTATGGCGGCCTACATGCCTGCTTCGACTGTGGGTGTAGGAGGCCACGCCATCCCTGCTGCCATGCTGCAGGGTCTGGTGCCCATCACAGCCGTGTGTCCTCAGGCCTGTGAGCTGTCTGCACCCTCTTCTGCCATCACCAGCCCTCAGCACAGCACTGACCCTGCCCTCATACAGAGGCACATGAGTCTGAGAGATGACTCTGATGCAGGGGAGGGGCCCTCGTCCTTAGTGCTGACCAGTGTCGGGGTTACCTCAGCTACAGTCAGCAGGTGTGGGACCCCGGGCCCCATGAGTGCCCCGGACACTCTGGTGTGCACTCAGATGCTGTCTGCAACCTCTCCGCTGGGCAACACTGCACAGGAGGAGGATGGCTGCTGCAGTGACCTTGACCTGTCCCGCATGACCTTGAGCCCAGGGACCTCCACGTCCCCATCTACAGAATCTCGTATGTCAAACATCCTTATTATGTTCTGTAATTTTAAAAATACTTTTTTGATAAACAAAAATTCCTGTATTGAACAGAACTAGCAAAAGTTACTGAGCTCTTGTTTTTTGTTTGTTGTTTGTTTGTTTTTTATTACAATCTTTATTTAATCAGGAAAAATCCCATTTTAATTATAAACCTTTTTTTCAAGGGAGTCCTGGCCAAGAGGCCGCAGTTCAACACATACACATACACATACACATACACATACACATACACATACACATACACATACACATACAAACAAAAAATAGTGATGTGACCTACCACATGTCCTGTGTGCAGCCTCGACTCCAGCCCCTCATCAGAGCTCATCCCAGGCCAGTGACCCCCTGGAGCCCCCTGTGGACCCCGAGAGTACCAAGGAGGAGCACACGGTACGCACTGTGCTCTGGGTCACTTCACAGTCAATATAGGATTCATGGATTGAATTTACCCAGTGACTGGCACAATGCTGTCATCTTTTAGTATCATAGGCCTCATGAGTTCTCAGCTGGAGTTTACATCATGCACCCAGCAAAATGTCGTGAGGATTGATTTCAGCCCAGAAAAAATGTCAAGTCAATTATGAGTTAAAGGTCAAACAGGATTTATGAGTTGTGATTAGATCAGATGTAATTATACTTGAATTAATGCTCTTATTCCCCTGTAAAATGCTAAATTGTTCTATGCTAGAAACATTTTTAGAGACCCTTTCAATCCTCTACAATGACAGATTGTAATCTAGTGACTTTAGTCATTTGTGACATTTACTGGTAAACAGACCATAAGGAATTAGTCCTTGACAATTGTTGTTCAGAGAATGTGTAATAATAACCTAGGCTATAGGCCATTGTTTGAAAAGGAGGAACACATGCTGTATATTATAACTAAATATAAATCACAATGACTGTAATATCCATCACAGTGCTCGGCTGATGTGAGGTCAGTGTCTCCTGAGCCCTGTGCCGATCTGGACACAGTGCAGGATCAGGGCTGCCCAAATGAAGACAGCTAGAGTACAGTACACTCAGGTAAATAAACTACTCCCAATATTTTTAATAAACAATACCTCCATCTGTCCTTCCTTGTCCTTCCTATTATTTTCAACCCAATTGGGTTAGACTCCTAATGTCTCATTGTGTATGCAAAGAAAGTGCAGAGTTAATGAAGGCTGAATGTTGCCCCCTGGTGGTGTAGTGTATAGTTGCGCCTCTTATGAGTTTTTTCTCTTGTGTTTCAGATGACAGACTCTGAAAATGGTGTTTTACAACCGAGAGAAGAGAGAGGGACTGTGACTGTGACCTGCTGCTTCTGGAGCAGCCAGCTCTACACACTTAAACAGATGAGCTGTTTATTAACCTTTAAAAGGACTTGAATCTTTGCATCTGCTTTCTGCAAGAGGCCATATACTGTACTCCACAAATGTACCAGTCTGTCGGGAAGTGACCTTTGAACTTTGGTTGGAAATCCTGGCTCTATACAAGGCTGCTCCTGTGGAAGGTGAACAAGGAGACCGTATCTTTACAGCTGAAAGCTGTCACCAGTGAAGACTGGACCAGCAGATGGATTTGCCAAAAGCTCTCATCTAGTGGCTCATGATTCATCCATTTGCATGTACCAACAGGTCCATGGACTCCAGTGTGAGCAGCTTCTTTAAAGATTTCAACAAATCAAGATGAGCTTGTACTCAATATTTTCTAAGCTGTGAAGTAATATTGATGATGCAGAGTCATTCGAGTTATCAGATGACTTTGAGCATCAATCTTTAAATCAGATTTGCCAAACATTTATTTTGTAAATAAGAATCGTCCCAGTGCCCCATCCCTGAGCCTCTGTGCCATATACAATGCTCTCTGCCTCTGCCATCCTCTGTGTGTCCGACCAGCACCTCCATAGACGTCTGGATGTTCGTTAGCTTTCGCTGCCATTTCTAAGTTTTCTTCTTCTGTTTACTTATGAACTGTGAATCTGTGTTACATGGCCATTTGGAATAAAATATGTCTCACTTGTTGTGAACTTGAGAGATGAAAAACCAGAATTTACCAGAATTTTATAATAAATTGCAGGACTTCCTGCATATTATTGTTTTCTACCATTGTATTGTTTACACATTTTACTCCTCAGTTGTGTGTGAGTCCTATCTGAAAATGTGAAATCTAAACATGAGCTCAGAGAAAGAGTGTCTCATTGCCTTATGTTTATTTTTGTTGACTGTCATTATGTACAGTAAACAGCTCACTGTTATTATAGGGGAAAAAAATCAATCAAAAATAGTGAACTGCTGGTAAATGCAAGCTGTACAAATTTAGCCCCACCTGTAAGAAAATAAGATAAAGCCCAAATGTTTTGTACATTTATTTATAAAACTGAGAGCGGACATGAAAAGATGAAAGACTTTTGTACGTCTATGACCTCCCCATTCACTGTTCCCATGCAACTGTTCATCACAATAAAATAATGTGATTACCATACAGTGGTGTGCTTTCATTGTTAGCTCATAGAAATTGCAAATTGAAAACAATTATACTATTATCTTAATTAATTTAACATACACATAGGAATCCCAGTATTTGACAAGTCATGTGATATTTGCTATCGACACAATTACCTCAGATGTTTGCAGGTCCTGAGTCCAGACTTGGGTAGGGTGCATTTACGAAAATGTGTGTCATCAGGCTTTCATTTATTTGCATATGAGATCTGCACCCCAAAACATTTCACGTAGGACATTTCAGCAAAGCGGCCCCAGTAAATCTGTACCCAATTGTGTTGAACAGGGGTGTAGCATCACAACCTGCAAGTGTTTGAAGTCTACTTCCAAACACCACATGGAGTTCATATCTGGGCCATTATCGATCAATTTTTGTTGACACAGACTTAAGACCTGCACTGGCTATCTCTCCTCTATCGTTCCTGATACACAGTCATGCTTCCCCAAGTGATAGACCCCAAAAGCTATTTATTGCATATAACTCTGGGCTTCTGCATTCTGAGGTAAGCAGCTACATATACTATGTCTATATTGAGATTAGCCTCTTTTTCTAGACCTGTGCAGAAAAATTTTAATATGTTCACTTATTTAAAATGTTATTAATGTATTTATAGTACATTGCAAGCTACAAAATCAGGGCATGTATCTGTACGCCAAGCTCCCTCTGATGTAGTTTATCCAGTGGACTGCATTGTGTCTGAGTGGAGCCAGTGGTCAAGATGTGACGTCTGTCAAAAAAAGAGGGTACGTATTATAAAAGATATGATATTCCTTTAGAATAGTAAAGGTGTTTAAAGGTTTAAAGGTGTTAAAAAGAGACAGAGTGCTAGTTTGTTCCAGAGTTCATCTGTAAGTTATATAATTTACTGTATTTACTTCTATTTTCACATTGTGGACTAGAAACTGAACTGAGCAATACACAACAGTATTATACTCCCATAAATAATACTTTTTAAAGAGCTCATATTATGCTATTTTCTGATCTATGTTATAATGTTGTTTCCTCAAAAACATACCTGTAGTTGCATTTTGTGTTTCATTCACACATATTTAACACACAAACCCTGCATAGTTAGGCAGAGTTCTTCTCTCAAACAGAAAGCGCACTGTTGCACCATGTGATGTCATGTGTTAATACAGGAAGTGCTCCACTGTGTGTTTAAACTCAATTCAGCTTCATTATAGAATTATTTGGATCATGTCAGCCCTGGAATTTCCAGGCACTACTCAACAAATGTAAAAGGTAGATACTACCTTGAAAACTACCACTTCATGACATTACAAGGTGGAATGGAACATTTTGAGGTTTGGAGTTGTAGACACACATGAAGGATAACTCAAACGTGTGTGATTGAAACTAAATGCAAATCTGTTGTTGAGGAGGTAACAGCATTATAACATAACTTAAAGCTCAAAGAATACATTTTGTGTAATATGAGACCTTTAACAGTGCAGCCAGGATGACCAAGGGCTACTGTGTACTGTAACTGTTTTATGTGTGTGCACTCCCTCCACTGTCTCCTCTGCTGCACCCCTGCACTCCATCTCATCCACTTTGCACTGAGCCAGATTAATAACCTTGACATGACAAAGTGAAAACAGGAGGCTAATCTGATTGTAGCTGTTACAGTCCCCCTGAGCGTCCTCACAGCTCCTCAGACTCCTTTATTGGCTATAGCGGCTGTTTATTGTTACCGTTTATGTTTGTCTCTGTCTCTCTCCAGTATCGCTTCAGCAGGCTCACACAGCCCTCACAGTTTGGAGGAGAGCCATGCCATTTTCATGACAGAGAGGTGGAGGCCTGCACTGTCTCAGAGCGCTACAAATGCAACAACATCCCAGTGTGTGAGGGCTTCCTGTGCACCCACACAGGTTTGGCTTTGTCTTGTTGTTTTAGCTTATGAATAAATAACTTAGGGTCTATGGGACAGTCCTGTCAAAAAAAAAAAAAAAAAAAAGAAAGAGGAATAAATATAAAATAACACATGGGAACATATTACCATGAATTGTACACCTAAAATTAAAGATACAGATTTTTTAATTGCAGGGTAATCAGTGGCTGCCAAGTTGTGTTGATATTTTGAGTCTTGACGACTAAAATCTCAATTTCTAAAGACTGCACGTGGACATTTAAAGTCCTGTTTCACTACAAACCTATAAACTATAAACACTATAAGCAAGCTGTGCAGAAAATATCCACCTCTGCTGGAACTCTAAGGCTCATAATCAAAATGCCAGATGTTGACTTTTTTGTTGTCATGCGTTATTGTTTCATATTAACTGCTTCAGGTCGCTGTATTCCTCGAACCTTGCAGTGTAATGGGGAGGACGACTGTGGGGATAACTCAGATGAAGCAGGTTGCAGGCGAGACATCCACCCCTGCAGGGAGTATGCCGAGGAGTACTGGGGCATTGAAAACCTGGCCAAGGGGTTGGTCCATCTCACATATTATTTAAATCTGGACTCAATATGTCCCCCACTGATCAGCTTTCTCCTTGTCTTTGTTCTTGTGTCTACAGGATAAACATCTTGAACAGTAAGTTGGAGGGAGTGGTGCTAGATAACAGATACTACGCTGGCAGCTGTCTTCCACACTACATTCAAGACAATAGATTCAGGAAGCCCTACAATTTACAGCAGTACACTCTTCAGGTAAATCTGTTGGAAGAAAATAAAGCAAATGCAACTTGTCCCAATGACTGCATTGGGATAATTGCCATAAAATTATAATGAGAAAAAAAATGTTAACTACAAAATTTGGCCCTCAACTGTGAAGTAACATTTTACTTTGATGAGTTTAAAATTAAATAGACCCTAGAATGGACCCTTGTGAGAACGAGTTGGTTATACTGTGTTTTTTATTTATTTATTTTTCTGTAGACAAGAGGTTCCTATGACTTCACCTTGCAGCATTTTGACACATACTCTATGTTTATGGAACACACCATAAGGGAGCACTCATCCAAAACCTCTGTCTCCATTGGCTTTGCTATTCCTGGTGTTTTTGAATTTGGATTTAACTATGCTGACTCCAAATACTCCAAATCTATAAGGAAGTTTCGCAGAGCAAGTGCCAAAGTAAGACCATGAGCTCTACCTTTAGCCTATCGGCTCCACATTACTGTGTGTGTTTTGGTCCCTTCTTTCAGACTAGCAGCTTCATCAAGGCCAAAGCAGAACTGGAGTTGGCCCAGTACATTCTTAAATCTGATGAACTGATGCTCCACCCCGAGTTCCTGCAGCGACTTCGCTCCCTTCCACAGTCTTATGTCTATGGAGAGTACAGGCTGATTTACAGAGACTATGGCACCCACTACGTCACTGAGGCCGCGCTGGGAGGAACCTATGAACACACCATCATTTTAGACAAACAGAAACTGGAGAAAACTGGTCAGTGCATTCAAATTCAGACTGAGAATTAGTCAAGAGATGGCTAACAAGTACAAAAAGAAATATATGTCCAATATGCTGTAGTATGTACTATCTTGGATTTGAAAATGCTGTAACTGTTTGGATAGATTACACTTTGGATGACTACAAAAACTGCGTGCAGGTTGGCCTCAGATTGGGTGCCAATATTAAAGGAGTGTATGTAACCGGTGGTTTTGAAGGAGGAGGCTGTGATGGACTGCTAAATGAGATGGGAGGTATGTACACAAACTGATCAATTCTTATGGTCTAAATGAAGCATTCAGTAATGAACAAACTTGTCCCTGCTAGAGGACACCACTAAAGGGCGCATGGCAGAGGATTTTGTGGCTGTAGTAAAAGGTGGAAGCAGTGAATCTGTAACTGCACTTGTCTCTAAAAAACTGCCTGATCCAAAACTGATGCAACTGTGGGGTCAAGGAGTACGTTTTAACCCTGACTTCATTCGAAGAACAGTGAGTTATTCTTATCTTAGTTAAGATCTTTTCACAAGGTGAAATATTGAATCACTGATGTGTCATTTAACAGACCAAACCACTGTATGAGCTGGTAACATCCAGAGACTTCACTCAGAGTGATATCTTAAAGAGAAACCTGAAAAGAGCACTCTCCGAGTACCTCACTGAGGTCAGCCCGTGTAGATGTGCCCTCTGTCGCAACAATGGAGTTGCTGTGCTCAAAGGTATAAAACAGAGAACTTCAAAAATGAAGCTTATCCACTTAATATTATGAGAATTTTACATTTTGAAATATTTTACAAACTTATGCTCATATAACATATACTACCCCAAATGCAATTCAACTGTGATGTGACTAGGGACCAGATGTGAGTGTATTTGTCCAAATGGATACAGTGGAAGAGCCTGTGAGATCACCCAGCGTCCAACAAGTTAATAACAAAGTCCTATTTTATCATTAATAACCTTTGTGTGAATTCTTCTGTTAATAATTAATTATGTTAATTTATTGTATTAGATCTAGGCATTGACGGGAGTTGGAGCTGTTGGAGTGCATGGTCATCCTGTAGCGGAGGAAGGATGAGCAGGGCCCGTCAGTGTAACAATCCAGCTCCCAGCAATGGAGGCATGGCCTGCCTAGGTCTGCCACAGGAATCTACAGAGTGTTTTTAATACATGTATTTTCTTTAATTATGTGATTAAAGCACTTCACTGTCTAGACAACTTTGGTGGTTGCATAATTTTTACTTTCTAATGTGGCTTCAGTTTACTCAGTTGTTTTATTCCCTTTCCAGAAAAGAGTCATTTGCACATTGAACTGATTCAAATAAAAATAACTCTGCATCAATGTCACTGTAAAAATGAAATATTTAGCGTAGAGCAGCAGAAGGTGTACTAACTTTATTGAAGTGAACTTGTCACAGTGTTCTTTAACACATTCGACTCTGAGAGGAGGAGCCCAAACATCGGGCTCCGCCTTGACTTGGGGGAGGGTTGTTGCAGGTTCTAGAGCGTATTTTTCTGCCCGATGAACAAGCTGTCCATGGACCCCAGCATGACCAAGCCCCATCAGTTCTTCTGTCTGTGCACAGCAAACAACTAAATTCGGCATTTTAAAAACACATTTCTAATACATATTTTAACAGGACAATAACAATATAACTGGTAATATTTGGGATATAGTGAATCCTCCTGTTACCTGTTCGTTTAGTCTTTTCACAGGCCTCTCCTTCATAGCCTGCTCTACATTCACAGGTACAAGAGGTTCCAGACAGGATGGGGAATCCTCTGTGAAGGCAGGGGGCACAGCGACAGGGGTCAAACTCCTGCAGGTACTCATCAAACCCCCTCTCAAGGTTGGCCAAGCGCTGCCCCACATGGTCAACAGAGGTACTGCGACGCACCAGCTCAAAAATGGGCATGACCTGAGAAAGGAAAGAATATTCATAATGGACCCTCTCTATATAAATCTCTATATGAATTAGTGACAGATTATTGCATTTTAAACATTTTGGTTAAAATAGTCAGTGTAGCTCCGCAACAACTCCAAAAGTCTCTCTATAAGTGATGGATTACCTCATAGTCTATAAGAACTGGATGGTATTTGAGTGTTGCACCCCACTTTCTGTATGTGTCAGGATCCTTGATGACCATAACACCCGCAGCTGACACTGTGACACCCCCCTTCACGAGAGAAATGATGTCCTTAATGTCCACTGAATGTCTGTCAGTTTCTAAAACAAAAACATTTCTTCAACATAGGTACACCTGTCATGATAATTACTCTATTGATTTTTCGATAGCCCTGTATGATGACATTTGAGTTTTAGATGCTCCAATAATAATACATTTATTTGACACATTATCACCATCACTGGACAGGAGAGTGCCTTTGGGGACAGGTTGTTGTCCCTGTCCTGCTCCACAGAAATAATCTGGAAGTGGTTTGTCCCACATGCCATATGTCCATGTACAATGAATCCCTACAGCTGATGAATGCAAGAGGACTGACTGCTATGTTACTACGTTTGTTTCCTTGTTGTTGCTGCTGAACTTAAAATTTCCTTCGATAGCAATAAAGCATCTTATAGATAACTGTTTAAGTGTTTCATTGCACTATTTATATGTTGTCAGCCAAAATATGTTTACTTAGAAAATGGTTTAGTATGATTGTCCTACTTCACTTCACTTCTAAGTTTGTTATCGTGACCTAAACATAGATCTTCAAGACACTGCACCTTCACAATCACTCACCTCTTGTACCTTCTCCCATTCTACCACATTTTTGACCATCCACTTTGAGACCTACTTCTCCCATTCCTTTTAAGGGAGCAGCTATGCCAATGGAAGCACCTAAGCAACCTCCAAGCAAATAGCTGTTTAGGACTGTTAACACAAGAGAATAAGCAATAACATGGCGAAGGCTATGTTGAGGAGAAATAGCTTCATAAGTCGTAAAAATAGCCTACTGTACTTGATTTTTCAGTTTTGGTTTTGTTGATGACCACAACATTCTCAAGTGTTCCTCCCATAGTTCCCTCTGTGACGAAATGGGTTCCATAGGTGTGAATGAATCGAGAGTACATCCCATAATCATACACCTCGGGCAGAGCCATCAGATCCAGTAACATGTCCTCGTGAAGCATCAAGCCGCTGCTCCTCATCTTGAAAAGAGCTGTTTGTATTTTAGAAAAAAGACGAACAAATCCAAACTCCTGAAACAAAAGAGATATGTCAAGTCAGTATTAGAGGTGTGAAAGTTCTTACATTATCATCATGGACAATATATCAACTCAGTTTACTAAATAAGTGGATCATTTGTTGAATTTAGTTGCATAATATCTTTTCCTATTGGGTGCCTTTTTGAGACATTTAAAAAATCAAAAGAAATGCATTCATAAATAAAAACATATTCTTTTACCTGTCCCTTATACTGTGTAATGTTGTTGACAAACTGAGTTTCCACACTGGCAGACAGACCCACTTCCACATACATGACACCCACAGAAAAGCCAGCGTTTGCAGAGTTCTCAGTTTTTCTCGCACTCAACAAACTTGCTATGTCCTCGTAGTACTCATGAGTTCCTTCAGATGTAGCCTCAGCCTAGCACAAATTGGCATAACATGTATATGCATATGTATAGACTAGATTGCAAAATGTAACAACTAAAACAATTTTCTCACCACAAATTGGTAAGTATGATAGTTGTAAGGTTTCCTGAAGTTTTTCTCTGCTGAATTGTAGCTCAGCTTCTCACATAAGGCATCATATGTAAATTTGTTCCATTCTCCATTGTAGACATATTCACATGATTCACCAAAATAATGTGGGTCAAGTATAGGGTCTACAAATTCTTCTGTTAAGATGTTATAGCTAAAAGAAAGTGAAAGAGTGAATAACTCAACACACACACACGCGCATATATATATATATATATATATATATATATATATATATATATATATATATATATATATATATATATATATATATATGCATTGCTTTACCCTTGAACGCCATCCTTTGCTCCAGGGATAGACAGCAGAGAAGAACAATAATCCTCTCTTGGATGGCTTTCTGCACAATCATTTTCATCAGAACTGTCACCACAGTCGCTCTCATCATTACAGCGAAGAGACTGACTGATACAACGGCCTGTATGTGAAGTTCAAATACAATGTTAAATGCAAAATTAATAGGTGGATATAGGGTGGGGCTGTTATCTTTCTTGTTACTCCTTGGACCTCCTACCTGAACTGGTGCATGTAAATTTGTCTTCACAGTAGTCTGTCACCATACATGGCTCCTGTGCATCAGGACATCTTTGTTTTTCCCACAGCGTCTCATAGCACTGACCGCCCCCAAACTGTGAGGGCTTCTCCAAGCGTCTAGCTCGAAACTGAGACCAGGATTAGTAAATTTGAAAATAGAGTTAATTTGGATTAATTGTCACACAATCCTACAATGTGACAACTTACAGTTTTGTCTGTGCAAGAGTTACATGGGCTCCAAGATGACCATCTGCCCAGCTTGCAGTTAATGGACTGAGGTGTGCTTGCATCTCTTGTTCTTCTAGATGAACCCCTGTTAAAACCAAAACACAGCTCATTTTATGAATGTTATATGCTTATATTAAGGAGAGACATTCCAAATATATCCTAAATATGCTACAAAGATGTGTGTTGAGATTAGAATATAAAGCCTGTAAAATCACCTGGTATCCGGGGTCCCTTCAGTGTTGAAAACCCTGAGAAAAAATAGAATCATGCATAAGCTCCGAATGAAACAAATAAATAATCGCATCGTGAAAATAACTTCAGACAGAATGACCTATGAAAATAGGCCTAGGAAAATATCTGTGTCCAGGACAGAGGGCTAACGCAATCAGATCAATAAAGTGAATGATTGATCAAGTGTAAACACGCGCTTACAGGAATTCAGACTCGTACTCATCATGAGGAAAGTAATTTCCTAAAGTTGGAAACAAAGATAAGCTTTACGGACCTATAACCATCAGGTCTACCGTGTACTAGGCTACTACTGTGTTTGACTGCCAAGAGTGCAATGCCACTATCCGCCAGGGGCTGGCGCTCCACATCAATATATGTACGGGCACGCTCCCGGGCAGCTCACGTGCACGTACCCGCGGCTGATGGCGGCGGTTTCAAAGCATATGGGTTTTGTCGGTCCAGTTTTAGAAGGAAAAGCATTTGATGAATGTACATGTCCAGTTTGTATCATCAGTGCAAACGCCCGATTTTTTTTCTACGGCAGAATCCGAACAGTGATGAACCAAACGAGTTACAATGGAGGAGGTAAACTCAAACACGCACTCTAGCATTAATCCTAGACTAATAAACAAACTATCTATCCCTGTTAATCTGATTTAAATCTATGCCCTTTTACGAGCTTTGTCGGTCATTGTCAATTCAAGTTTTAAACTAGAGTTGGCTGCTTTGTCTTAATTAATTTTATTTTGTGCGCCATCTGATGAAAGAGAACTAGCAGTCTCTCATGGACACGTTCAATATTAATTGAAGTAACCCACTTACTTACCACTACTTATTTTCTACACCCACAAATTAAAAAAAAAAAAAAACCTGCAGAAGAGAAAGAGGCCAGAACTGTAAAGGTTAACTGGCCAGAAAAAAACTACACAAACGTTTGTAGGCTAACTGTGCTTTGTCTCCCTCTCCTGTCTCTTCAAAACGGCACCATTTTATTTAGTATGAATCAGTATTTAAAAGCCTATGCTGTTTTCTCATGTTTTTCTTTGTAGGAGACATCAATAAACTTCAAAGCATTGAGAGCCAAGTTTCAGGAGGAAGCTCTGATGACTGTGTCTAGAGCCAGCCGACCAGCTGTAGCTGGAAAGCCCAAGCACTTGCCTCCTCCAGGAGGTCATTGCACCTCTATGGTCAGCAATGTCCACATGGCTGTGGACAACATGGCTCCAGTGGTCCCCAGGGTCTTCTTTAGAGATGGACTGAGAACTTCAGGAGGGAAGAGGCCCATTTCATACCCCCCCCGCTCACCTACATCTTACAGTACTAATGGTGACGCTACATCAAGACACTCCCTCAAAGATAGACAGATGCCCCTAGTGCTCCCCATCTTACATAAAGAGATGAAAGCAGATCAGCCATCCAAAAAAGAACATAAACTGGAGGTTGATGGTTTGCAACAAACCAAAAGCAGGAAAAAAGGGTTGCTCCTGCCTTTCAAGTCTAAAACTGCCAAGGCTAGTTCCGAACACGGGGAAGAGCCCACATATGCAGATTTAACTAGTCGACCAGCTAGTGCTCCTGGAGAGCTGCCTTCAGTGGAGCAGACCACAGATGACAGGGCCTCACTCCAGGGCAGTGAGAAGACCAGTGAGTGCACTGTGTCCAGCCCTGACATCACCGTGAGCCCTCCCTCTGCTGAGGCTCATGACTCAGACAGCAGATTGTGCAGCACACTGGACAAGGCCAAGAAGAGGTTCTCCTGTCGACAGGTGATGTCATCCATTAAGCCAAAGAGTAGTTCACCAGAGAGTGCCTCCAAAAGCAGAGTCTCACCCACAAAGAGCACCCACAGCACCACGCTAGAATTACCCGCGCCCCCACCCATATCTCCTCCACTGAACCTCCCCAACTTAATCTATATCTCAGCCAGACCATTTAGTAAAGGCACCACAACATTCAGTAAGTTTCACCATTATCTTTTTATTATAATAATAATGCTGCTTTGAATATTTTATTACATTGTATACCTAGAGTCTCCATTAGAGAAGCACTTTGGTAAGGACAAAGGTACTCGTCCTTTTGCCAGAATTGGTGATCCCCGTCCTACATCTCCTCAAAAGAAGCCTTTACCTGAACCGTGGGCTCTGGGGCCAGAGCCGACAAAGCCCTCCAGGCCTCCGGTGGTCGACCTCAGTAGTTACATGCCACACACATGTCAAGGTGTGTTTATATATCACTGCTGAATATAAGGCTTGCAATATTTTCACAGATGCATGAATCATGAAAAAATTACTTTATTTGGAAAGTGTCTTAATGAAGAGAAACTGTATCAGGAAATGCTATGTATAATTCAAGTTTGTTTTGTTTTAGTGTATGATATTTTACCAAATGTATATCTTAGGAATATTGCAGGGGAGTTTGATATTCATGCACTGTACTGAATCTTTATTATCAATGTTTTACCTAGGGTGCTTTTTCCTTTGTATCAATACCAGTTTATTTTATATGCAAAACTTATAAGATTTGTTAACTTGAGTTCTTCAGACGTTTACTAATTAATTTTTTTTAAAAAATTGAATATTTCCTCTAAAGTCTGAACTCCCCAAACCACCTTTACTGAAAAAGGATGTAGTTTTATCTTAATTAAAAAGACCAAGGCTCATTATTAACTGAACCTCAGTTTTGAGATTACATTTTGCTTAAAATGTACAGACCCAGTTTTGCTATTGCCAAAAATAAGTGAGCATTTCTATAACCAATAATGTAATTTCACAATCACTCATTTTGTTTTATACAATGTAATATGTTACATTATTTCAGCCATTATACGTAAGATCTACTTCAGTTATTTCTTTTTTAGATGTGTCACTGAAGCTGAACCACACAGTGGTACATGAACGGGCACCAGACAATCCCACTACAGTCCCAGTTTTAAATGCTCCTGAGTTTTCTGACTTTGACAATTCTGAGATTGAAACTGCAGAGGAGAATGAAGCTGTGCAAATTGCCACATTAGACCTGAAGGTACCGGACCCACCACTTGATGCCACTGGCTCTTTAGACTTTGCAGAGCCCCACTCTAACTGGTCAGATCTTACACAGAAATCTGAACTAGATCTTGGTAATGCAAATATAAGATCCCCAAATCCACCCATCCTTCCTGAACCAATAAGCCTCAGTGAGTTCTCAGAGATACTGGAACAATGGAGCCAACGCGAGGAGCCCACTATAGGCCCTCCATGCTGCACTAAAGAAGCAGTAGACTGCCACTCCATACCAGAGGACCAGGGGGAACATGGTAACAACTTTGAATTTGGGTAAGTTGGTAGGATCTCTTAAGTTTGGGGTACAAGCTTAAAGGTGTGCAGTGTCATTTTTTTTTTTTTAAAGGGGTCCACTTGTCTACATGGAGATGTTATTGGTCTATCCAAAATTTTCTCTAGTATCACATTAAACTTAACTATCTTTCATTTATTAAAAGGTGTTTTTTGCACAAAAATACTTAATTTTGGTTTAAGTCATCCTGATTTGGTTTGATCTAGATTAGTCATATAAATATTTGATGTATTTAAGTGTCATCACTCAAATACACTGTAATTACCTAATGCCTGATTTAATTGTTTTATTTAGAGTCTATCAACAAGAAATGCATCAGACCATGTGTGACAATGTGTATGAAGATGTGGAAAACATCGGCAAATTCGCATTGAATCAAAGCTCTCACAAACAGAAAGGACTCAAGAGTATGTTTTTTTTTTTTCAAATTTGTTTTCAAAATATACAATATGTTAGACTTTTCAGTTTTTTTATTGTATGCAGATCCTTATGCTGCGAACCACCATGGGGTAAATATTACTTCTGAATTACACAATCACAAAAAGGAAACCAAAATTAACAATGCATTTTTTTTGTATTAAGAAGGAGGAGCCAGGCCACATATTTCAGAGGAATACACGGTCTGTTCTGTATATTTCAGCACAATTTTTTGGCCAAATCAAACTCTTGTCATTTTTTTTCTTTCTGTAGGTATGGTGGAGAGCCTGGTTATTTGTCTCACAGTCAGATCAACAGGTAAAGGACTTTGAAAACATTCGTTTTGAAGACATAATAATTTAGCTTGTTAAAACTTATATTTCTTGTAGTAAGGAATGCCAAAGCCCAAACACTTCTGACTTCAAAGAACAAAAAAAACGTGAAAAACAGCGTCTTGAGAGAGAGAAGAAAGTCCAAAAAGAACGTGAGAAGAAGGAAAATGAAATGAAAAAGAAATTTAAAGTGAGTATTTATTTTGGTTATGAATTTATTTATGGGAAATAATGGGAACTGTTGCAATCTATATTAGGTAACAGGTGCAGAGGAGCCCATGTACCACGCTAAAGTAACTGTAGCAAGTAAAGTCCGCAAAAATGATCTCCCTGTTAAAAGTGGGGACACTGTCAGCATCATCCGCACCACCAACTGCCCCAAAGGGAAATGGCTGGCCCGAGATGCTAACCATAAGTGTGAGTAAAGAATTATTATGACACCAAACCTAGTCAAATAAGAGTTTTGTAACTTGTATTTCTTGTCTTTTTAGATGGCTATATTTCTGTCATGAATGTGGAGCTGAATATAAAAGAGATGTTGGAGCTTGGGAAGAAGGCGCAGGCAGCAGGACGAGGAGGCAACATGGAGCCAGACACCATCAGTATTAGGTCAGTATAGAGTAGATTTCTTTTAGTCTTATTTAATTTATTTTATTTAAGATATTTAATTTAATTTAAGATTTTAAATATACTCACAACATTGCTTTGTTTTTTACAGCTCCTCAAGCCACCCTGTACTGTCAAGCAGCTGTGAGTGCAAGATATGAATTATTCAGTTTGGTGTTTGAATTAAAACCTTGCTCAGTTCATATTTAATCATATTTGTCTAATCATGAATAATTGTCTTTTGATCATTGTTCTAGTTATCTGGTTATGTGCTGGTAACAGCAATAGTGGCTCTAAACCTTTTTTTACACAAAATATTCTTAATCTAGAAGCTTTCTATAATTTTTCTTTATTTAGTTAAAAAAGTCTTTAAAAATTTGATTGTACAGTGGAAATAATCATTTGACTAGTTGACTAATGCTAAAGTACTGATTTGTTGCCACTGAAATAATCATTAGTTGCAGCCTTACTGTTGTTAAAAAAATGGATTGCCCTAATATAATGTAGTGTCACTTCTCTCGTCTGCAGCCGTTCTTTTGTATATTTCTGTGTAATTTGAGGTGGTTGGCCTGCCTCCTATCTCTCATCGCTGTGTGCTCTGGGCTCTGCCAGACTCATGTGTTTTTGCTCAGTTACAGACGATAGTGAGGAATGGCCCTGTGAAGATGAAACCCTGTCTCCCTCCAATGAGAGCCTGTAAGTTTGCAGCTTTGTACTGCGTTCAGTGCTTAAGTAGCTCTTGAATCAATGTTGTCATTCTTTTGCATTGCTTAAAGAGAGTTTCCCCACTTCTTTTCATCAGATTGCCCACATGAAAGATTCTCTTAAATGTATATGTCTGTTTACATTTAGTTTCTGTTTTCTCTACGTAGGAGTTTTCCACAACAGTCTACCCGAATCCCAGAGATGTGTAAGTAAATTCAACATCCGCTTCTTTTTGAAGTGAGCAGCCTTCTGGGTTTGTGCCTGTGGTTGTTTTATGTTCTGGTCGACATGGCAGACTAACAAGGGGCTTTGATCCTGTTAGTTTATCGTTTTACAGTGTACTTTGCTTACTTCCTCCATCCTCTCGGTTTTACATAACTCTGCCTCTGACCCACCTACATCTGTGGATTTCATGTTTTGCTTCATGTTTGTGTTGGTGACAGCATGTAGCCATAATGGCACCCAGTACACCCTGAGCGATGCCAGCCTGGAGGACCAGCACACCCAGTGAGTATCCCACTGGTCTCAAAAGCACAGGATTAAGTTACTGTACAATTATATAAATTTATATTATCAAATGGCAGCTGTGTTCATAGGATTATGGTTCACAGTTGAGACAGAGGTGACTGAATTAGACCTGTCCTGACTTTCTGATCCCAGTAATTAACTTTACTTTATGATATTTGATCAAGAGAGGCAATAGACTTCAATTTTGGAGGAAAGGGCAGCTATAAAGATTGGTGTAAATTTGACTAGATAATACACAAATTTGTCATTTTGGTTCTGTATAATTTCTTATAATTAAACCAAAGCAAAAAACTCATCATTAGTAAAAAAATAAATATTTAATTGTGCATATTGGAATAAATGATTTATGTGGATTGGGGGGATGAATATTAATGTTTTCCAGGACAAGACAAGAGGCACTGCAGAAATTGGCCATTTTCTTTCAGCACAACAAAGAAGAACTAAAGGAAAATGGTGACACAAATGCTACAAGGTACGTTTTCTATACACTGGCACATGACAATAAAAAAAAATACTTTTCAATAAGAGCTCTAATGCTTTTCTAATCCTGTTTCCTCTAAAGCCTGGAGATGCCTAGTAAGTTTAGCTTTTTCTGAATCTCCCCCATGTCACTCTCACTGATAATGTGAACATAAGATAAAAGCCCACCACTTTAAGGCCACTAGAGACCAGCACTGGTTTAGGGTTTGTTTGTTAGCCACTTGTTGCTGGTGACATGTCAGTTGACATAGAACTGAGAGGAGGAAAGATTTTTAAACTTATCTAGTTTTTATCTTTTTAACAGATTTGTGTGACGTTGAGGAGCCACCATTGCCGTAAGTTTGTCCTTATCATTATCAGAGAGGGAAACGTCTGACTTTGATGTGAAGCTGTATGTACAACTCGCCACAATGGACAAAGAAGAGATCAGTATACAAGAATCACCCAATAAGAAGACTGAATTAGCATTTTGTGTGTCATTTTGTAAACAAAAAATCTATTAGTAATTGATAAAGAACACATTAAAATCAAGTTCATCTTTTAACTTAAACCCGTGGGTAATTAAGCTATATAATGTTTTTTGACACTGAACTGATTTTTGATCAAATTCTTTTGCAGTGAACAAGAGATTGACTTCACAGAACTGGAGCTTCTCCCACCACCACCGCTGTACGCAGACATATGATTTTCTCAACAAAAACATTTTGACAGTTGTTTGGTTTGTGTGTTTAAATTATGTAAGAGGTACTAGAATATCACTTTTTTTTTTTTTTTCTGTTGGATCACACCTCAATCACTGATTGGAACATATTATGCACATATATGAAGTATGCATTATGTACAAAGGGCATTGGCATAAAGCGTATTCACCAAATATGTTTGAAAATGGTTAATATATTGTTATTTACGGGTTGTATTTACTTGTAATATCAGTCTAATAAATATGTTTAAATATTATTTGGGACATTATACTTATACTAAGAACACTGAAATGTTTCTAAATGCATTTTAATTGTTAGGTTATTCAAATCTAACTCTTATTCATATACTGCATTTTTGTAATTACATTTTTGAAGAGTAACACAAACCATAACAATACATAGACTATATAAGGGGAAAAAACTTTCTTCAAACTTTAATTTTTGCGCAGTGCACTTAGTCACCACCTATATGTACGCCCATCAGGGCAGCCGTAACTGACCTGTTGGCCTATTGCTTTTTAATTCTTAGCAAAGTCAAATTTCAATATTAACTCAATTAAACTTTTATAAATTCATATGTATACCCTAACCTAGTTTTGAGTTAAAGTTTATAATTAAAGTAAAAGTACCGGTAAAAGATAAATAATGTGCCTTAAATTCAGAATCAAAATAGTAGACCACTTAACAAACAGCCCAATTGCAGTTCAAAATGAAAAGCATTTACTCAGAATACTTGTGGATGGGGTTTGAACACAGTCTATGGTTTTGAAATTACAAGTTAGTGCTTTACTACTGCAAATGGAAACAATAGGCTACCCAACTTTTAAGTACCCACTCTGAAGTATATGTCATCCACACTTTTATCTAAAGGTACAAGATAAACACCACGGCTGAGTGATGTAGCCTGAGAAAGTCCTGCGCAGCATTAGTAGCAGTAGTAGCAGTAGTAGTAGCAGTAGTAGCAGTAGTAGCAGTAGTAGCAGTAGTAGTAGCAGTAGTAGCAGTAGTAGCAGTAGTAGCAGTAGTAGCAGTAGTAGCAGTAGTAGTGCGCTTGTTAATTGAAGTAGGCGGGCCTGGGGCGTGGCCTGGACTCTCACAAGTACGCGCGCGGCTGCAGAATGGTCAGAGAGGTCTGGAGGAACAGCAGGGATAGTCTTTAGTGTTAGAAAGTCTTTGTATTTCACTAACAGACTGCTGACCGCTCCTCATCTGGAGTTGTAATGAATCTGTAGCTTTAACAAATAAACCCATTAGTAGTTTAGCTCGTATTGATTCTGTTCTGCATCGATCCAAACAACGGGTTTTAAATGCAACGCTGCCTGATTTATGAGAAGACGATGGCCGAGACGAAGAACGGCGGGAGTTCACTCAACAATAACAATTGTAAAGACGACAGCCGCAGAAAGTTACTCGTCGGTGTGGACCTGTTCTGTCTGTTTTTAGGTAAGAATCCAATGGCCACTTAAGCTCTCGCAAATGAGTCTTTAATTTATGCAACGGTATCCTATTATCAGTATTATCCCTGTTGCATCATAGGCTAAGATAAACATCATTTGAAATAGGCCTACTAGATTATTGTCTGATTGTCTTTATCTAATCATGTCTTTGTTAACTAATAATGATTATAAGAGAAAGTCTTTCTGAGTAGGTGCACATACCTGCTTTTTTGTTGCAAAGTAAATTGCATTTTAGATATTGGAATGGTGTAAATTTCGATTAGTTACTTTGGATGCAACTGAAAAACTTTGGCTTAACAATTTTTTGGACGATATTGCAGAAATGATAATATTAATATTTATAGCATTAGTGTTATTAAAAAGAGTAGTTGCCTATTAAGTTGTCTGTGTAATCCCTCAGTCATCCAGTTTGCTAAGCCTCTTAAGTTGTATGCGCATAGTTCACAAACAAATTCCAATTTATTGTATGGAAGGATTACAATATTAACCAGTCCAATATAGGTATTTAACTTTGATCCAGAAATGTGCTTAAAAAGAGGAAAATGTCAGGTAAATGGGCCCAGAGGGAATATTATTACTTTTCTGTCCAGCCACACCTGTCCTGTACCTCGATTTCAGCTCATTCTATTTTCCAGAGTACTGCATTCCTCTCCAGCAGGAATTCTCTTGATCTCCACATCTGGCTGAATATGTCTGTGTGGAGCTGTAATTAAGAACAGTGGTGAAAAGGTCAGACTTGCGCTGGATGTTTTGCGTCACATTCAACAACTATTACAGACCAGGCCCAGGGTCGTTCTTTTCAGTGAAGCATGACTCTTACCATAGCAGGAATAAGACTTATTTTTTCACTGGTTATATTACAAGGAAATGAGAAAAAGATGTGTGAACGATTTCAATATACCTAAAGGTGCACTGTGTAACTTGTGACTTGGTGAGGAGTCCAATTCCTGCTAGTCTTCTTGGAGATATTAGTGCTTTCCCTGGAATGTTCCACTGTATGTTCCTCTTCATGACATTAAATTATTCATCTTGCTATTTTTTTTCACTCAAAAATGACTTGAAAAATGTGTTTTCTTAATGTGTGCGGGCTCTCTTCACAAATTACTGACCTTTGACTTGACTTACCTGCTGGCCTTCATGGAGATAAATCAGAAAAGTGACATAGTGCACTTTAATTCAGTGAAATCTGTTTTTACTCTCCACTTCTGCTTCTCTAATCATTTCTGCTCTATTTTGAGCATGGGAAACGTATTCATGATTTGTGGTTAGGAGTCTTTTCTTTCCAGTAGCTATTAGATGCAGGGAAAACTACATGTGCGCATGCTTTCCACTACATGTGCGCTTGTCAACAAACCCACAGTGTGTTTCAGGCCATGTGGTTTACAGCACTGACCACAGGAGGAAATGGGGGCAGAGTAGTCATCAGCCCCCCGCGCTTCTCTCACTGCGATTACCCCTCTGAGCTCCTGGGAATCTACTTGTCCCGCCCACCCCCTGTATACTCAGAAGATCATTGGACATCTTCTTGTAATATGCAAAATAGAAGCAAATTGTTAAATATATTCCAGATTTCATTTTAAAGGCTGATGCCCATAAAATATATTTGGTCTCCTTGTAATAATAACATTGCTGACTATGGAGTTCAACAGTGAGTGACCACCCACTCCCAGGCTCCCAAACAAAATTTCCCATTCATTTTTCTCATAGACTTCTAGAAAAAAAATGTTTAATACAAATCTGAAAGCTTACTCGGGGCTAATCAACCATGTGGTAACTAATGACAACAACGTATTATTTTATTTCTGAAACATTTAGCAGAATCTTGCATTTTAAACAACCTTTTTGGACTTAAAACACCTGCGTTATGGATATTAGTCAGCAGCACATAGCTGGTTAGCCTCTATGATGTCTTTGAACTCTTAATATTTAAATTTTTTAAGTCCATAGGAAATCTATAGGAAAAATGAATGGAAAATTTACTTCCATAACGTGAACGAGCAGTCATTGTTGAGCTTCATTGGTGCAATACTTTTATTTCCGATGTAATTCCTTTATTGCACAGAAATGTCCTTATTTTTTCACAGTGTTCAAAGATGAGTCACCAGTAAACTATAATTTACTGATCTATTGGCAATAGGTTTTTTGTTTTCAGATTTACAGACTGTGCAGATTTATTTCCTGATATCATTACTAGACATAAAAAAAAATGGTAGCATACTAATAACCTGTTAACGAGCAAATGAAAACATGTTGCTAGTGTCAGGCAGCAAACTGCTCAAATATAGAAAATAACTCTCACATGTCCAAGACAACAATAATATTTGTGTTACTATAGACCTACAGACCTTTTTAGATGTCTTGCTTTGCACTCAGGTCAGTGTGACAGCTGCAGGTCTAGGGGGTCTACTGCCCTGAGTAAAAACATTGGCATCTGTGTATACACTACATTACACTGCTGGACAGTGAAATTCTACAAGTGGAAAATGTGCCTGTTTATTTTAGCTGCAGTCACACTTTTACCTGTTTTGGCTAATGCGATCCCAAATATAGTGGGATTTTAATACAACATGAGTTATGCTTGTTAGTTTCCATAAACAACGTAGCAATGGAACTGGTAACGCATAAAACACATAAAGCTTAGGAAACTTACATCAGGCCATTACATCAGTTCCATGTTCATATCATAGGTTTCCATAAGTCTGCTACAAAAATATAGTTTTACATGTTTCGACTCTTTGCCAGACCAATCAAATTATCACATTTCTTGCCATTCCAATGCATTTGGTGGGAGAGTGAACAATTGGACTAAGTAAGCAGTTATGTACAACTGAACTTTGGTGTGGACAATGCTCTGTAGGGCTGGGTAGGAAAAAAGTACTACTGGTATGACCATGAGTACCAAAAAATGATCAAAAAATAGGTTCAAGTAGTGGTAGCTGAAGACAAATGGAAAGGTACCTACTGTATGACGTGACCAGTCTAATTACTTCTAGACTCATGTAGGACTCATGTAGGTTCAGTACTACTCTGTGGTCCTAGAGATCTTGTTAAGATAATGCAAAACACAGCCTCACTCCTGCTGATGCTGTTATTGTTGGCCTGACCAAAAGCCCGTTTGCGTTGTTTCACAGAGTCTTTCAAAGCAAAGAAGAAAGCAGCTACAGGAGGGAAAGTCCCAGGACAACATCCCCAGTGCTGAGGCTGCACCGTTAAGACGAGTGATGAGGTCAGGCGGGTCCAGAGCGGAAAATGATTTGACAGATCTTCTGGAAAACAGGAGTTGACAGAAAACAAAATTAAAACAAAACTACTGTACTATACCATCTGGAACTAATGTAAACTGGATCCAAACAGTGTTCAGGAGGGTTTTCATTGCCCAGATGTTACTAACTGATACTAAAACTATTATCAAAACCAGATACTCGTTTAAAAAAGTATTAATGAAATATACCAAAAATATCACATAAATAGAAGACATTTTTACCTTTCCTGGATAGTTTAGTTTTATCTAGCTGATATCAGAACTAGTGATATTAAAGAAACGAGTGATATTTTTGTTGACAGTTACGGTATATTGCATAAAAACTATATCCTTGTGATATCAGATATATTGAGCATTTTCGTTAGTATCGCAATCTTTCCAAGTTTCCAAGTTTGTATCATAATGAGTTGACTACACTAACTGCTAGTGACTGTGATGTTGTGACTTGTCTGAGTATTTACTCCATAACTAGGACTAGAACTCTTTGATATTAGATCTAGGGGGTCCTTTTTCATGTTGAGATTGAAGTGATGCCTTTGCAGAGGTCTCTGAGTCCTCTTTGTGCTGTATTGGACTCTGGATATAACATTTTGCACAGTCGGCTTTTTTCTTATGTCCTAACACTGTTTTAGTCCAACTTCAGTAGTCAATACATCACGTATGAGACCTCATGTTTTATGTTGTCTGTGAGGCCAGGTTAAGATCACTTCAGTGTATTTTATTATCTGGGAGCTCAAATCTCTGCTTTCTCCCACAGACTAAAAACTAGACAGAGATTTGTTTGAACAGAAAGAGTGAAAATGTTATTATGCTGAAATGAGGGAAAGGCCAAGGTTCCCATAAGGCAGTGGGGATTAAGACAGCAACCCGAGCTCAACCCCAGCTGGGCATTCAAAGCCAAGTCAGCTGCACATATTGTGAAAGTGCTCAATAACGCTGCTGACATTCTGGTTCACCTTCAGTTAATCTCACCACTGACCTCAAGACCTGGGACTTTTTGTGTCTAAAATGCAAGAAACTGTGGTCCACTTTGTTTTCCTTTTGTGTGTGGAACTCCAAAATCATTCACAGAGACTTGAAAGTACAGAAGTTAAATGGTGCTTTTGAAGTGACATGCCTGGTGTGCTTTGCAAATTCTGCCAGCGATTTGAAGGCTCTCCTGGGGATACCACGATCACATTTCAAAGTCCCCAATTGGAGCCTTTAGTAAATAAGAGGAAATAATGTTGCCCATTTTGGCTGATGTCTCTGTGCACACCCTTTTGCGCTTTTGTCAAAGAGATGAAAAAGATCTGCTTGGCACTTTTAAGTCCTGAAAAAGCTAAATTGATCAGACACACGTATTCCCAAAGTGACTGTTTGAAGTGTGCTTAGAGCATAATGGGACTGGCAAAGGAATATGGTAGTGTTCCTTATCATCACTGGGGAATACTTTGTGGGCTTACCTATTGAAATGCTAGGATTGCAGTAAGTGACTTGCGGTTTTATATTTGTTTTTGTAGGTACACCAATAGCCCATCGCACAATGGTAAAGTTAGAGTTCAGAACTATAGATTTCGAATCTTTCTGTAAGGGTTTTCACACTTTCTGTAAGGGTTGTAATACTTAAACCATTTCTGAAAGTTCCAAAATTACATTTATCTGTCTGATACACCAGGAAGACCAACTCACAGTGAAAAAAAATACATTATTGTCTTGTACTTACACTTGTGTACACAGTGATGAAGAGGCTTCACAGAAGAATGTACAGAATCCACAACATCTTTCCTGAATATTTGCGCAAACTCAAATATTGAGTTTTTTTTTTTTTTTGGTTGGTTTTTCATCTAACACTCTTTTGACCCTTCACCTGAATGTAGGTAACACTTGGAGTTTGCTGGTAATGTATCTTGTGTCTCCTCTGGCACTGAAGTTGTTTGTTTATCTTTGTACCATGCAGTGCTGCTTGTGGCTGTGTTTTTGCACAAGTGGCCCTTCCCGCCTTACCAGCGAGGATTCTTCTGTGGTGATGGCAGCATCAGCCTGCCCTATAAGAGCAGCACTGTGTCCACCAAAGTGCTGGCGGCCGTGGGCGTGTCTGTGCCTGTGGCCTCAGTAAGTCATGCCTGGGGACCCCGGAGAATGACCAGGGAACAGTCCAGTGCTCTCCTCCACACATCACTTTCTCCCATACATCACTTTCTTATACATCACTTTCTCCCATACATCACACGGTCCACTGGGGACACTTCAAAAGACCTGACGGGTTACACTGCCCCTTCTCTGAGGCGCTGCCCTGCTCCGATGAGCCTCATTCACTGTAAATAATGACCACTGCCAATGCACCAATTCCACCATGTGACTTTCATAAAAGACACTCAGTTATTTTCCTCACAGCTGATATATTTGATATAGTGATCATTTTAATAATATACAGCTATGAATTGAACATATTTGTGAAAGTATTAAATACGCATATAAATTGATTAATAAAGCAAAACAACAGTGTGTTTATCAAGGTAGGAGTGGGCGATTTGCCAAAAGGAAAAAAAAAGAGAAAAATGATATCATGATTTTTAGAAACAAAGCCATGATTTTAATTTTACCACAATTCATTGAGTATCTGTTAAACTCCATTAAGGGGTAACTAAAGCTGTCTGCAGCTTCTTAGAGTTCATACTTCTCTGTGATTGGTTAAATCCTCCTGTCACTAACTCAGACCATGGTGGAAGCTGATCAAGCAAAGAGTCAGTGGGGAAAAGTGACAGCTACTTTAAACAGAAATAAAGTGAATCACAATATGACAATATTATTAAAATTGTATATTATCAAAGGATCAGATCACAATTAGAGTTTATTGCTATATTGCCCAGCCCTGTCAAGGTCCAAGAAATTGGCATAAGCATTACATTATATACATTCAATATTCCAGCTAACTAAATTGGAATTTCATTTCCAAAATGTCCATGCTTTGTGGTCAATAACTTTAAACAGGCTCCATATCACACTGAGAGCTAAATAAAACAGCACTGTAGATAAGTCCCAGATAAAAGCTGTAAATGTGTGGAGTTGGTCTCAGATGTTCCCTGGTCATCCTGCATGTCCCTGTGACCTCAGTAAATTGTGTGTCATTAACCCAGCACCTCCATCTCTCCCCCCATCACCCCCTCCCCTCCCTGTTTCTCCATCACCACCTCTCCCCCCATCACCCCTCTCTCTCCCTCTGTCCTCTCTTTGCTTCTCATGCTTCACCACCCTGTAGCTGGCCTGCCTTTCTTGGTCATTGAAACCAGCGCGGTGCAGCCTTACCGTAGAGGGTTTTACTGCGATGACGAGTCCATCAAATACCCGGCCAAAAAGGGAGACACCATAAGTGACGGTGTGCTCAGTGCTGCCGGTATTCTTATCACCATCCTGTCTGTAAGTCACTCCTCCTCACGCTAATGCCATTGTCACAGCCTTCACCTTCACCTCTGGCACGTACTCACCATTTTCTGTTCACCCACAATCAAATGACTCATTCTTTATTACCTGTTATGTATCGGTAAGTATTTTTCTATGCACAAATACAAAATATTCTAACAAAAATTATAGTTTAACTGAATTAAACAGATTTCAAATTGTAGCCAAGTTTAGAATACAGTAATTCTAAGAGTCAATTCATAATGAACAAATTGTTTAATAAGAATGATTCATAGTAACTACTTAATTAATACTCTAACCATGACTTACTTATTAAGTAGTTACTGCATTTGAACCATTCTTAATAAACTATTTGTCCATAATGAATTAATTCTCCATGCTTTATTAAGGATGTCAATTGTGTAGTTATCTTAAAGTTATTTTAAATGAGTGGCTTAGTCAATGCATCTAATGGGACAAATTGTGCCTGAATTAAAAGAATGTTAGAATGATCTTAACATTCAAAAATATTTAAGATGCATCTGATACATTTAATGCAACTATTCCCTTTTTCTTGTCAGAATTTACAAATATTGCAAATTAGTATAGATTTTCTTCTTTTACCCAATGTTTTTGAGATGTGTTGTCATTATTTAAAATGTATTCGCCACAAGCCATCATTTTAAATCTACTGAAAGCTGGCCACATTAGTTAAGTCCTGTTCTCCAATACATGACAGCCTCCTGATCTCTATGGTCACATTGGCTGTCATAGTGAGAGGGCTCCCTGTCCCTGTATGTAATTATGGTTGATGCAATGGCTCTTTGGTCAAATAGGAGTGGAGCTGTGGTAAAGCGTCAAACAGGAGGACTTTGCCAGACATGTCACTTTACTGTTAGACTATGACTCAACAGCCCTTTAATCCTGCATGACCTTATAATCTGTGAACATGGAAACCTTATCGCTACATTTGCTCCTATTCATCAGAAAAGTTCACCACAGAGCCAGTTTTACAATATTAAGAGAAAATACAAGGCTTTTGTATAGACTACTCCTACACGCCTATACACTCTTATGATCTCATCATAAAATCCTCCCTGTTTGAATCAATATAAACTGGGCAGTGTCTGATTTGCACTTATTACAGGTTTCTAATGTGCAGCCCTTTGCTACACCCTCTATCAATAAATGTGTGTTGTTAAAATGTCAAACGCACAAAGAGAACCAGATGTGTCTAGCTCTACCATGAAATCAAGCGGCCGTACGGAGCCGGCTCTCAAGGCCAGGATGGTGGAAAACTATCGCCGTGCTAGACCTCCTCTGGGGTTATCCCTCATTCTGCAAAGTGTTTCCGAGAATCATTTCTGCGCCCCTCACAAGAATGTCCGATGAAACCAAGATAGAGTTGAAAACAGCCAGACATCCCTTGTGAAATCGGAGCAATTCAAGAGACATGAAAAACATTGTGCCCCCGACGTGCGCCTGCTACAGTCTGGCCCCAAGAATGTGGCCAGCTCAGCATTTTTACTGATCAAATCCAGAAATTCATACTCCCTTTAGTTTAGCCATGTTCATTTTCATTGTCAGATCTGAAATTCTTTTTATTAGTTCAGTAACAGTTTTTGGAGTGATGATTTCACTATTTCATACAATTGTGTCAGTGTGCTCCTTTATACTCCTTGTATAGATAAACACATCTGATGTAAACCCTACCATGCACATAATGTCTATGCAAATCACTGCACTATAGGCAGGTGATGCTTTACTGTGTGGAACTATGCAATAGTATTTTATGAAAAATAAAATCATTTTGAACTGAGTGCCACAACACATCTCAACATGTTGGGACAGGAGAAAACAAAAGATTGGAAATGGCCACAGAAAATATAAAGAGAAGTGAGTGTAAGGAGCATTAAAGAGAAAGTTTATTTCATTGTTATTATATGCTTATGATTTCCAGGTTCTCAGTTAACACTAGAGATTATTTACAGATATGACTCAGTACTGAAAGTCACGCCAAGGACCATAAAACACTAGAAATGAAAATGCAAGTTAAATTGTGCCGCCAAACCTCTTCAGTTTTCAAATGACAGTTCTCTCCTAAATTGGGAACCATGACACTGAGTTACACAAAAAACAAAATAAATGGACTGCACATTCCTTCACATTCCCCCCTCACTGTTTTGCACACTGCCATTTGTGAGTGTGGACAACAAGAGGACTGGGGGTTGGGTTTGGGCATTTTGGAGCTGGAACAGCTGTTATGAGTTACTGCTCGACACCTCCCCCTCTGAAGAGTGCAGACCATGTCAATCGCTGAGTTTAGTCTGTGGTTTATTTACACACTCACACTAAACTATACAGACTGGACAGTTTGGGTTCCCTCCCACGTCGTTTCACTGTTTTCTCTCATACAAAGACATGGAAAATACAGACATCAAGGAACTCACTTCACAAGAAAAAACTATGATTATTCTAGTTTTGTGTTTTTAAACTTAAATGTTTAGAAGTCAAATGACCTCTATTTTGGCTCCAGTGGTTTTTACATGGAAAACAAATGATCCATGACACAATCAACTGAAACAAGAATATACAAAACACTTAAGCCTTTAGTTCACTCTAATCTAATTCAAAATGTTTGTATCAATATTAATTATGGCTTATTATAGGACTGCAATAATTAATTGGAATCATCATGAGTAGTCACCTATTAACCATTACCAAAATAACTTATTTTATCTGGTTTAGTTTTATACAGGCCCTATACAGGACTCAAAAGACCTTTTTATAACAAAGATGAGTGCATTATTAAATCAATCAAAATGTCAAAAAAGAAACAATTTCATATCATTTTCTAGCAGCCTTTCATATACATTCTCATTTTATTTGGGTAAAAATCTCAATTGTAAATAAGAAATAATTGCAAGTTAGTTGAATACCAGAATAATGGTTATTTGCAGCCCTAGTTTTGTATGAAGTGTTGTTCAGCCCAAACGTTGTCACTGACATGTCTGTTGTTTCATACAGATTATCATTGGGGAGAGCTACAGGATCTACTTCCTGCATGAAGGCTCCAAGTCTTTTGTGGCAAACCCGTACATCTCAGCGCTGTACAAACAGGTGGGCGTGTTCATCTTTGGCTGCGCCATCAGTCAGTCCTTCACCGACATTGCCAAAGTGTCTGTGGGGCGCATGAGGCCGCACTTCCTGGACGTGTGCAAACCAGACTTCAGCACTATCAATTGCTCCCTGGGATACATCACGGAGTACCAGTGCCAGGGGCCAGAGAGTAAAGTACAAGAGGCCAGGTACAAAACTACTTTTCATAATGTTTTTTACTTGCCACTGTTTAAGGGGCTGTTCTGAATTTATGCTTTGTTTCTTCAGGAAGTCTTTCTTCTCTGGACATGCATCATTCTCTATGTACACCATGCTCTATCTAGTGGTAAGTTCTGACATAGTAAATTAAACACATTAATTTATTTCAGTGACTTCATAACAGATATCACACAAAGAGGCCCACGGCTTACTCTTTTCATGGGTTAGGATGAAGTTAGTTCATGGGTGTCAGATCCCTATCTCCTAGCACTTTTGAAATATTTAGTTTTAAACTTTTGACTTTTTTGTCACTCTGAAATTTATGGATTGTCACCACAGACCATTCATACTATGTCAAAACAATATAAACATAATGTTCATAACCCAATTGCGTGCATTTACAGTTTTACCTGCAGTCCCGTTTCACCTGGCATGGAGCTCGCCTGCTGCGCCCTCTGACCCAGTTCACCCTGATCATGATGTCCTTCTACACAGGCCTGTCCCGAGTGTCTGACCACAAGCACCACCCCACAGACGTACTGGCTGGATTCATACAAGGAGCCCTCGTGGCATACTGCATTGTAAGTACTCAATCATGGGAAGTGTGTAGGGTGTATATGATTTAGGGGCTTGGCGATATGCAAAATAATGAACAGCTTTCTTTGAGCCAGATCATGGCTCAAGTTATTATCTTTTTTATTTCCTAGAAGAGCTAAATGCATGTGCTTCGTCTGAAATTTCACACTTGCAATTGACTAGATTCACCTGTCACTCACTCAGAGCACTGCTGAGACTGATCAATAAGAGGTCTTTCTTTGAGCATAGAACTGCATTCAGGAGAAAACTTGGCGTTCTCTAGAGATTATGGCTAAATCCAAAAACCAAGTACAACTTCAATACAAACTCATCCACAAACTTCTTTTACTACATAGTTACATTTTTGCAGTACCCTTTTTGTACTTCAATAAGTGTTCAAACAAAGCTTCATTCGTGTAATTTTTACTCATATTTAAACAGCTTGTTGGGCCAAAAAAAATATCGGCGTCTGCTGGAGATGTATGGCCGATACCTGATACTCTAAAAAGGGCAAATATCGATCTATCTCTAGCGATTTTATCATAATGGCATACTGTCACAGGAAGGAAATCACACTTTATTTTTGTAGAACCATATTGCCAAGCTCTAATGTTATATATTATTTGTAATACTATTTTCTTCTTTCTTGTAGGTGTTTTACGTTTCAGACCTGTTTAAACCAAAAGGCAGACGGTCTACTGTGACACCTTTGCCAGTGAAAAAGGACATAGTTCCTCCTCCTGACATCAGAGAAAGAAGTAACCCTCTTATAATGGCATGAAAGGATGAAGGCAACTCGACGTGTGCCATTTATAATCACTACTAAACTTGTGAACTTTAAAACCTCTCAGAGACACATTTTTATACAAATAATTACACAACCCAAGACCATGGGGGTGGACTCATCTTATGGTTCCGTTTTCGAGAATCTCTGGTAAGGTCAGGCCATGGAAAAAGCAGCTGTGAACGAAGCTATGCCTGTTTAATTACATGCATACGATTTTCTGCCACTTTTATTACTGTGCAACAAAAATCATGAACAACAACTTCCTTTATTTTAGGAAGGATCTGAAACTTTTACAAATGTATTTTAGCAAACCTCAGTACTGTGTCACCACTTGAATGACCTGAAGTGAAGCTTTTGATAAGCTTTATAATAGTTTGAGTTCTATTTTGTCTCGTTTATGTAGTCTAATGTACATTGGTTACAGTATTGGTGCATAGGTTACAGTGGATATAAGAGCGAGTATTTTGGGGTGGGCCTCTTTCTGCTGGTTAGGACGAGTCCCCACTGAGCCATTTAATGAAATGTCAGTCTGTTTTAAGTAGCAGGCAGTGTCCCAATGTTAGACCACAATAAGGATTTGTATTGTATTTGTGTGAGTCCTGTGTGTTTAATGTCTGTGTATAACCTGACCAGCCAGAGTACAGTTACTGGTATAAATCAAGGCACTGATTCACTTATAACCTACACAAACAATTTGGCTACTTTCACACTCCTCTTGGTTTGGTCCCAGTAGAGTAGGTTTAGTCTTCATATCGTCCTCATTTAGTTTAGTCCAATTTTGAAATCTTGATTTAAGATGTGGTCCCATGGCAATGGATGTTGGAACATCAGTTTGCAAATGTTTTCCTCATATATCAGTGTTTATTCTGTATGTTTCCAGCATAAATCTATTAAAAAAAGAAAACAAGAACTAAAAATAATCCTACTTTAGATAATCAGATTATGGCAGCTTTAATAGTTGTTCAGTATGCCCAGATTTTTTACTCCTATCCAAATTAGAGAGACGAGCAATATCATTTGAATATTTAGAAATGGACTGTTCAGCCATAGAATTTAAGAACCACTGACAGATATGAAAGCCCTACCCAAAGGCAGTTTTGAAAATCTTTCCATCGCCCCAACCAGCAACAGTACTGTACATTCTGGATGCTATAAACCATGTTCTTGTACTTTATATTTGTGTGTAAATACATTTTGACTAGACCTGTGTATTTGTCATTGTGCTGCTTTATCACTATTCAGATGGGCATCATTATTTTGAAATAAAACACCACACAGTTTTGGTACATTATGGTTTTAAAGTTGTATTTTTATAAAGGTGTCAAATGTACTAAAGGTGTATGATGCTTGAAGTTCTTAATAAATGAATAAAATATGGAATCAAAGTATACTGTGAGAGTTAAGTGCTTTTTTGGCAATGATTTAGTGCCAGAGATGTAGAGATCTGGGCGTGGGACGATGGGGTACTTCCATGCGTGGCTTCCTGGGGGGAAATGGTGAACATTCCTGGCTTCAACCCTTCTCTTTGACGGCCCTCTGGAATAATACAGACTACAGCACACTGGTAGAGCGCATTCACATATGAAAATACTTTACTAACTTGGCTAAAAGTGAAATTTCTTATCCTTACATATTTCTCTGCTTTGTTGACTCCCAGACTTTTAAATCGTTGTGTAGTTAGCGCACAGGATACTTTTCATTTGGAGACAAGGCTGTGCTAAAATAACAATAGTATTTTTAAAGGTATGAAAGCACATGTGCAGCAACTAAAGACATGCTATTTGGCTGAGGGAGATTGTAATTTTCTGTCCTTGAACAGAGGAAACCACGTTCAGCAGTTTTCCTTTACAATACTTATTAAGGTTCATAAAGAAAAGTTCATCTTGTAAGGTGCATTTTTAAAAATCTGTTTTATGTAAGATAAAATTGCTTTCTAAGTAAAGTAAAAATTAACTGAAAGGTGTGTATACCTTGGTGTCTAGTCACCAATATAAACAGAGAATATGTATGAAAGTGCAACATAGACGTTTTTAGCTGTTAGTTTTGTACACACCTATTTCCTATGACAGAGCTTTAAACTGTTTGTTTTTACTCCTAAAATAGTACAGTTCTCCTTTGCTACAGCTCAAAAAGCAAAAGTCAAGAATGACTACATGTCTGAAGAACATTCATACACCTTCTACCTGCTGCTTTCACTGCTTTGGGCTTGAGTTGGGTCTTTGAAACATTTTTCCCTTTTCACTGGTTCCAGCTTGCTCTTATATGGTGCCATTTTTAGAACATATGATGATTCAGAACCTAAAATATTTTGTTTTGAATTGTCAATTGGTATGGCAAAAGTCCAAACTTTTCATAGCTTTGAAAGTCGTGGATATATTCTCACGACACTACACAAGAAAAATTACAAATAAAAAATGTGAGATGGTTGTAACTGGAATGTTTTTCTTTGGCGTGTATCTTCAAAACTCAGTAACTAAGCCTATTTTTCAGATCTTTCATGATTTAATACAGGTGAGAAATTATACAGCTCAATCTTATATCTTATGATGATGATGATTATGTGCCTAAATGAATATGACTTCTTAATTGTAAATGATTTGGTTTCATGTGGTGAAACCAAAATTTCAGTTTTCATGAGAGATTGCAGTCTGCGGTTGCTTGTTCACGTTTTGAGGTGGACCAATTTTCCAAAGAGGCTTTCTTGATCAGCGAAGCTTAACATTCTAATAATGGAATCCTTTTCATGTGGTTTGCATCACAGAAAACAGTTGTGTTTCCCACCACATTTTAACACACACGTTCGTCAAGTAATTAGACTGAGAATACTTCACAAGAATTCTTGAGCACTGCTGTTTCGTGCTAAAAACTGTTTTATTTTCTTATTACTGGATAACTTCTACTTGGAGCAACATTTCACAGGATTTCAAAACCCCTTCCACTTGTTTGTTTGTAGAGAGTTCACCACCTGTTTGTTTCTATGGAGCTGTTATTGCTTTTCCTTCCACTGTAAGATGTAGAGTACATTTTGTTTTTCAATTACATTTAAACTGATCAATAATACCATGGAAAAAGTGCATACCATTAACTTGGCCTGGTTAATGCTACACTATGGAACATTCTAGGGAGAACAATAAAATCTCTATAGAGAAAAGTACATGGCAGACACTTGACCAGAAAAGTAGAGCATATTTAACCTGGGAAAATTAAGAATCATTTCCAAAATGCAGCTTGCAAAAGTAGGCTATAGTTCAAAGATCAAGAAAAGGCGATAATAAAAAATTCAAGATAAGCCACGAAAACATGTATAACCAAACATCTTTTTTCATGTGTTTTGACTCCACATCATCGTAGTATTTTGGCTGGGGCGCGTGTGTTTTTAATATGTGTGTCTGCGCTGACAGATGGATGGAGTCAAGGGGAAGTGAAACTCTAACCTCCAAATGTTGATAAGTGACCTCATTACACTGTGTTTTTCTTATACTCCACCATCATGGCTGCCCCTCAGGAGACCCACATCCAGACCATGATCCAGATCCATGCCAACTATGTGAACTCAACAGGAATTTTCTTCTCTTGGCTCCTGTCACACAACAAGTTTTTGGCACAATTTCACTTGGACTGTGAGCCAGAGGTGCAAGAGGAGGAAATCCAAATATAAAAAAGAAGAATTACAAAATAACAACCATTATTAGTGACTCACCATTTAGAGAGATATCCTTGACTGACCAGTGCAAATCAATTAGAGTATTGTTAATGTGGATTATGTAAGATCACATTGTTTGTCCAATCACTCTAATGGTATTCTTGTCCATTCCATGTGTGAAGAATGTCAAATGTGGGAGTTTGCTTCAGATACCTCACAGCTGATTATGAAGGCTATAACCCATGAACTAATCTTGAACTTTGACAATTTTCAAAACTCACATTTTAACAAAATTACTAAAAAGGTTAGCCTGAACCGGCAATGGTTAACAAGGCAGTGCAACAACCAATGAAAATTGAAATGAGTTTGCATCTTTGCCCTCGCACTGATCAGCTACAGTTACTAGTTCTATCTTTTACTACCATCAATTATTATCACATTCTGCAAGTACTAGTACTCTTACTACCAACCCCAAGTGTGGACAAAGTGAGAGATAGGGTCCTTTCGCCAATAATGTGCAGTCCAAACTACTTGCAACTAATACCATTAATATGTTAGCAGAAAAAACTCTTTATTACGTATATTTGTATTACAAGTTTTACAGGTATATACAGTATAATGTCCACCAACTACCTGTGCTGCTCTATATGTCATAGCTCCCCTGTGATGTTTACCACCACCCTAAGTCCCAAGCTGCCTCTGAAAACGATTCTTGCCCCTAAACCCCAAATCTCTAGCCTCTTCCCTCTCTCTCCGCAGAATTCCTACAAATGACTTCCACATGTGAGTGAGGGGCCCCTCGGGAATAGGGCCAAGAAGAATATACTGCTGACAGGTACAGCACTGACTTCATCAAACACACACACACACACACACACACACACACACACACACACACACACACACTGGACTATTGGCTCACTGGCAGCAGCTGGCACTCAAGCATGAAGGAGGAAAAGGCATATACTAAATACACCTTTACCGTTCTTATGGTGCATCCACTACTTGGATTGAAACACTGCTGATCAGTTTTTGCAGGTTGATGGCATGACCATATTGGCATTGTGAAGACAAACTTTATTTTTCTCTTTCTTCTTCTTCTCTCCAATTTATGTCTCTCTTTTTTTATTTTAATCTTCACGATTATTTATGTTTTGATTTGTTTTTATTATGATTTTAATGTATTTCTTATTCTGTAAAGCACTTTGAATTACTTTGTGTACGAATTGTGCTATACAAATAAACTTGCCTTGCCTTGCCTATTTTTTTTTCACAAATTGAAAAAAGTCTTACAGGATTTTTGTTAGATAGTAATATCCTCGTACTCGTACCATAAGTATACACATATTCTCACATATAAATAAATACATATAGTTACACATATATATATATTCATACATATATACATACATATACCTATATACCTACTTACCCACATTTACAGACATACACTCGGGTACATTCACCTACATTTGACATTTACCTATATACTTTTTTATTTTTTTAATAGAATTAAATAAACCAGATTTAACATTGTGGCGTAGAACCAGGGTGTGCTTTAAAACATTATTATATACATTACTATACATTACACCAAAGACTTATTTCAAAACAGACTGCAAATTTTCAGACTCTATACAAAGTCAGACCGTGTTTGTCTAATATAATTCAACCATCCACTCCATAAATTTTCAAATTTGTCTTTCTCCAGCCTAACTGATGCCGTCACTTTCTCCATATTGTATAAGCATTACACCCACCCACTCTTCTACCTTAGGTATTTGATCCGTTCGCCATTTTTTGGTGATTGCCTTTTTGCTATCCATAATTTTCATTATATTATAATCATTCCTTCTAGTTAAGTTCAGTATATCAATTTTACCCAGATAAAAAACTTCAAAATTTAGGGGAACACTACAATTTACTACTTTGTCAACAGCAATTTTAATTCCTGCCCAATATGATTTCAATAGTGGGCATCCCCCAAAAATTTGAAAGTGATCTGCCTTGGAAGTACCAAAAGATTTCGTATCTGCATATTTCCTCTGTGCAGGGGTCAGAAAGAATCTACTTATATTCTTCCATCTGTATGTGAAGACAAGCTTTAAAGGTACCATATTGCCGAAAATTGATTCTTGTGAGCTTTAAGCCTCATTATAATGTTGTTACCGCATCACAAACAAATTTGGAGTTGTGTTTTCTTTCATTCACACATGTTTGAGTAATACTTTATTATTAGTCTGTCTACATCTCCAAAGCCTTTTACACTTAGTTCAGAAGAGACTGTCAATTCCAGGGCTGATATTAGTTTGAGAGAAGAACTCAGCCTAAATATGCAGGATTGTTGTGTTAAACATGTGAGCATGAAACAAAACACAACACCAGATATGTTTTTGATAATAAACATTATAACATGGATCAGAAAATAGTATAATATGCACCCTTTAAGATAAATTTCAAGTAAATGTACTGCAGAGATGGATAACTGTTTTCCGAAAATGAACATAAAAAGCTACTTGGTGATACCTTGAAAATAAAATGTAATGCATAATAGTAAACATTCTACAGCATGAAGGATATATGTATACTTACATAGTAAAAGGTGCATTTCTATACAAACATTTTAAAAGAAATGTACAATATTTAAGGCCTTTATGGATGCAGTATCCTCATCATCATTTGGCACCACATTCATTTTATACACCTCAACATCAAGTTATTTCATCAAGCTAAAACCAAAGTAAATC